CTTTCTGAGAGCTCTTGGGGAGATTCTCTTTCCTTGCTCATTCAGGTTGTTCACAGAATTCACATTCCTTGTGGTTTTAGGATTCAGGACCCCATTTCTTTGCTGGCTATCAGTTAAGGCTCATCCCCTGCTCACAGAGGTACCCACATCCCTCCTGTGGGCTTATGGCCACTTCCTCCATCTTCAAAGCTGGCAATGGCAGGTTGAGTGCCTTTCATGCTTTGAATCTCTCCTGTCTCTTCTTCCATTGTTATATCTTTATGATTCACCCTTGAATTATTTCAGGTCTCTGGAAATTAACCAAAGGCTTTCACTCTGGGGAGCATTCACGCAAGAAAAAAAGTTTTATGGTACTTTAACTTGCCCTATTTCCATCTTCCTTTCCTCAGTTCCATGATAGACTTGAAAACCAACAGCCCTGAAATCATGGTGAATACCTGCAGCCTACAAGTCACTGGAGGGATTAGAGCTCCTTTCTAAGAGAATTGTCATTATTTGACCTGTCTGGCAGTTCCCTGGAAAACCCCACTTAGAGCACTTGTCTTTATTTGGCCTAACTCAGAATTTAACCAGTTGGAACAGCTTTTTCCCTGATAGTGTTTGTGAATTGTTGAACATCACGCTGCCTGAAGCAGTATGACAGCTGGGGAAAACAAAAGCTGACAAAAAAAAAAAAAAAAAAAAAAACAACCTTAAAAGGGAAAGCTGGGGAGTAAGACCTCACAGGGATCTTTGAAAAGCTCTGACATTTTCCTGGGAATCTCGAAGCCAGCACATGCATGTGCAGGCTGTGCATATGTCCAGGGCTGTGCATGCTCAGGAAGGATTTGAGAAAGTCCTAAGCAGTCACCTCAGATTGACCCTGAGGTTCTGTGTAAGCAGGAAGTGAAGGCTAAGACAGAGATAAAACTGCTTGCCTGAACATTGACCATGTACCTCAGTACACACACAGGGACTCTCAGCAAAAGCTACAACAAAGGTCTGTGATTCCTGGTGTTTAAGGAAATCTCTATCTAATCATTATCTGACCAGTAAACTAATGAAGTAGTCACTGCAGTGGCCACATATGACAAAGAATACTACTTTATAAAATTACATCAGGAAAGTCTCTGAACAAACAGCAACACAGAAAAAAGCAGCAACGGCAAATCTCCCAAAAGGGGGAGAATCTCATTTCCAGAGTTTCCTCCTTGTATTATTTAAAATGTCTAGTTTTCAACAAAAGATTATGAGGCATTGCAAAAAAGCCAAGAAAGTATGACCCATACATGGGTCAGCGGGGTTAGGGGGAACCAAACAGTCACTAGGAACTGTCCCCAAGGAAGCACATATGTTTGACTTGGTAGACAAAGATTTTAAATCAGCTATTTTAACTATGTTCAATGAACTAAAGGAAACCATGTCTACAGAACTAAAGGGAAGTATAAGAACAATGCTTAAAATGTGATATTCAGTATAAAATTATGAATTCTCAGAAATATGAGACAAGAACTATGAACAGAAACAAACAGTAGAAACAGACCTGCATGGGCTCTGGATATTAGTGTTAATAGACACACTAAAATAACTTTATTGACTATGTGTCTTAGTTTGGGCTACTATAACAGAATATCACAGACTGGGTAGCTTAAACAACAGATTTTTATTTCTCACAGTTCTGGAGGCTGGGAAGTCCACATTAAGACGCCAGCAGATCTGTTGTCTGGTGAAGGCCTGCTTCCTAGTTTGCAGATAGTTGTCGTGCTGTGTCCTCGCATGGCAAAGAGCAGAGCTGAGGGAGCCAGCTCTCATGTCTCTTCTTTTAAAGTCACTAATCCCAATCATGAGGACTGTACCCTCATGACCATATCACTTCCTAAAGACCCCATCTCCTAATATCGTCACATTGGGAGTTAGGACTTCAACATATAAATTTGGGGAGGGACACAAACATTCATTCCATAACACTACGTTAAAGGAAAATAAAGTCATTATTGAACATTTCATCAGAGAACTAGAAACCATCGAAAGAGCCAAATGGATATTCTAGAATTAAAAAAATAAAGTAACTGGGTTTTAAAAATCAATGGATGTGTCTAAGAAGCAGATTAGACACAGTTGAAGAGAAAATTAGTGATTTTAGATCTAGATCAAGAAGAAAATTTCCAAAATGAAGCCAGAGAGATAAAATAATGGGAAAAAAAATATTAGAAGAGAGTGTAAAAAGCATAAAGAGCACAGTGAGAAAGTCTAATGTACATTCATTTTGTGTCCAAGAAGGAACACAGAGAAGGATTAGAAGCAGCATTTATAATTGAACGCTTCTCTCAAACTAATATTAATAAAATACAGCAAGTCACCAAACAAATAAAAAGAAAATATGCCTAAATGCATCGTAATAAAACCACTGTAAGCCAGATTCGGTGGGAAAACCATAAAAGCTACCAGAAAACACACCCAACACTCAAAGTAACAATAATTAGACTGACTGCTGACTTCGTAACAGAAAAAACAGAAACCCAGAGACAGTATATGTAAAGGGCTTAGAGAAAATAACTACCTAGAGAAAATATCCTTCAAGAATTAAGGTGGAATAATGACATTTTCAAACCATAAAAGCTGAAAGAATATGTCAACACCAGGCATGTGGCACAAACAATGCTGAGAGATGTTCCTCAGTAGAAGGCAGACGATTCCAGGTGGATGTTCACTGATGTAGAAAGGATTGAAAATTGAAAAACATGAGAAGGGATTTGGGGTATACCTACATGAATAGCATCTACATAAAATACATAACAAATGTGTGTGCTAACAAAGAGATGGCAGATGTGACGATATTAACATCAAAGTATAATTAGAGCCAAAGAGAGTTTGACGTGTGCAATGGTTAGATCATCACAGCTGCTTTTGAAGGACAGGGATGGCCAATAACTTACTCCAAATGAAGGTGATGAAGAAATCTTCTCGACTAAACTCTCTTCAGAACACATCAAAGCATTGCTCTCTCCTATCCTACCAAATTTGTGTCTTCTCATTTCCTTTCTTTGTATTTTCCTAATTGTCTTTTAATCTGTCATTTTTTTCTCATTTCTTTCTCACTTCTTTCATCTCTATTGGTGTCTTCCATCTCATCTCTCTTTAGCTTCTTGCTTTTCCTCTGCCTTTGTCTCACCTGTTGTGGATACAAAAATGTATTTTTTAATTAGAGTTAATAATTTTTTGTTTTTTCTGTTTATTTTTAAATTAAGGTAAAATATACATGGTATAAAATTTATTCTGTGGCATTAAGTACAGTCACATGTTGCTTAATCACAGGGATACATCTGAGAAATGCATCATTAGGTGATTTCCTTGTGCAAAAATCACAGAATGTACTTACACAAATGTAGATGGTACAGCCTATACACACTTAGGCTATATGGTGTATAGCCCCTTAGTCCTAGGCTTCTAACTTGTACAGCATGTTACTCTACTGTAGCAGTTGTAACACACTGGTTAAGTATCTGTGTATGTGAACATGGAAAAGGTAATGGATTGCTATGACATCACTAGGCAATAGGAATTTTTCGGCTCTGTTATAATCTTACAGGACCATTGTCAAATATGTGGTCTATCATTGACCAAAACGTCGTTATGTGGCACATGACTGTTTATTCACATTGTTGTACTACCATCACCACCATCCATCTCCATAACTTTTTTCATGTTATAGACCTAAATAGAGTTAATAAATTTTAATGTTCTTTATTCTTAAATTAAAAGGGAAAAACTGAACATTCTATTTCTAAATTAATCCCACGGTTAATCCCACCAAAAAAGCTAATTGTTTTTATTAGTGTTGAACTTTGATTTACCATATATATTTCATCAGTTCCAAGATGTCGTTTGTTTTCACATTTTAATCTGTCTTTAATGAGGAAACATCTTACAATTGATGACATATCCTAGTTTAATAGCAATGGGCTTTTTTTTTTCCTTTACAGCGCATTTCACAACAGGGAGCATGTTACAGTCAATGGAATATGACCATTTTTTCCTGTGGGTCACTTCTGTGATAGAATTATCTGAGTCTTGTGATCTATTTCAAAATGCTTAGTCCAATACATTTTTCTAACTGAAATGGTTCTACAAGGTACTTTAGTTCTGAAAAGTAACAATTTGAATAATCTTGCATTTAATATGAGTCAGGAGAATAAATGACTAATGACTTACTTTTTTAAAAAAGCATTAGGCTGGGTGCAGTGGCTCGTTCCTGTAATCCCAGCACTTGGAGAGGCTGAGGCAGAAGGATCATTTAAGCCCAGGAATTCAAGACCAGCCTGGGCAAATAGCGAGACCATGTCTTTACAAAAAAAAATTAGCTGGGCATGGTGGTACATGCCTGTAGTCCCAGCTACCCGGGAGGCTGAGGCAGGAGGATCGCTTGAGCCCAGAAGTTGGAGGCTACAGTGAGCTATGACTGCATTGGTGCACTCCACCCTGGGTGGCAGAGTGAGACTTGGTCTATAAAAATAAAAAATAAATTTAAAAAATACTTTATTTCGCTATAAAATTTTAATTTTCTTCTAGCATACATTTGTCTACACACCAAGATACATGGGGCACCGTAAGTTTAGAGTTAGCCAAAGCAGTCGTAGGTTGCAGGCACGTGCAGCTTGTCTTAGATTTCATAGACCCTCAGTTGGTTAGGGTTCAGTTCATTATTGAGGTCAAACTTGAGGGGTCAGACCCCAAATGAGATTATTGGCTTTGTGTTCCACCCCATGGAGAAAGTCCCCTTCAATGCAGCCTTCCACTGAAGTTACGGCATTGCTGTGAGGGAGGGTGGTAGAGGAGAAAGAGAGTGAGAAGAGATTTGTTTCCATTTTAAAAATCACCTCCCTGCGACAACCGACTATGTGATTATCTCATCCCTGAGAATGTCATTTACTCTTTGTGCTTTCTTTGGGTGTATTCGGAACAGAGAACTAACAGGAACTTAGTTTTAAAGGATTCATTTCTTTCCCTTCTTGGTTCTGTAGCTTGCAGTGAGTTGCATACTCCATCGCTAGATCGAAAACCAAATAGTTTTGTGGCAGTGAGTGTAACCACCCCTCCTCAGGCATTCTGGACGAAGCACGCGCAGACGGAGATCATTGAGGTGGGTGTGGCCGGTCCCTTTCCTTGGAGGGGGCTCTGAGACAGTCTCGAGTGATATTTCTAGCCCTGGTGAGAGGTCTGTTCAGTTACCTGAGCATCTGTCGCTGCAGTTATATTTATGTGAGTTTTTGCTATTTCTCCATGGGCTTTTTAATACATCGACATTTTCCATCACACTCATCTGGGTGGCATTTGTATTTGCCATATCCTTTATAACTCTTAATAACTATTGGCTGGTTATTTTTGAACAATGATCGTATAAGGTTGATTGCCTTTTAAGAAGTAAGACCTAAGTCTTCCTTGTCATCTCCAGTTGGCTGCTACTTTTGGAAAGTTGTGCTCATGAATCAAAGCTTCGAAGAGTGTTAAGTATTAACCAACCCTCTTGCCCAGACATATCCTTTTTTTGTTGTTTTTTTGTTTTTACAGCCCTTTTAGTTTTATGGTATGTGTTCAACTCCTTATATTAAATTAAATGATACACATTCACCAAGGGAATTTTGTAAAAATCCTCTTAGATAATTGAACATATTACATAAGTTATGATACCAAGTGTAGGAGTTGCTAGCATGAGATTCTGCAGGGTTTTATTTGTAATATGAAGAATTAGCAAACAAACTTAAAATGCATTTTCCCTTCTTCCCCAGTTGTGCAGTTTAGAAACTAGCCCACTCTTTCAGTCTCTTAGAAACTTGTCCAAGTTCAGGACAACAGTTCTGTTTTCTAAGAATTTGTTGAGCACTGCGTACACATCTGGCACAGTGATGGGTGCTGTGGATGATGCAGAGACCTTTGGGGCACAGTTCCTGCCCTGAGAAGTTGGTCAGCCTGTGGCTGAGGAGGCAGAAATGAATGTGGCTGGTCCCGTACACAGCAAAGTGTGGGAAGTGTCAGAGCACAGAGAGGAGGTGAGGGTCCCATCTAGCTCTGAGGGTCAGAGCAGCCTTCCTAGGTGGGGCTTCATGAAGTGCTGCTTCAGTAGGTCTGGAGTGAGGCCCAAGACTGCATTTCTCACAAGCTTCCAGATGGTGCCCGTGTGGCCAGTCTGGGGACTACATATCGGAGGGCATGCCAAAGTTCTGTGGTAGTTCTGCAAAGGTATGATGATAAGAAAGCAACTTGCAGGTTTGGGGCCTAACTGTATTCTGTTCAGTGTATGTGAAAGGCATAAGTAGAAGAGCAAGGACAGGATGGCTTGAAGGCCAGGCCAGGGAGTTTGTAACGCGCAGTGGGTAGCATGCCCTTGCAGGCTTTTCTGCAGGGGAGTCACCTGACCTGATGTCCTAACTCCGACAGTTGTTTGGGGAAATGATGCAAGACCTGACTTTGGCAGTGGGAGGGAGGAAAGAAAAGTGCACATGAGAGAGGCTCTGGAAGTAGAACTTGCAGGAGGAGTTCATGGTCACTGGCTTTTAGCCTGCTAGGAAAGAGAGTCAGAGATGGCCTTAACCACAGGCAGTTCGAGGAACCGTTTGAGATGGGTTGCAGGCCACCCAGGAGGGGCTGTCCAGCAGCTCTGACAGATTCTACCTGGAGCTGCAGAAAGAGTAAGTGGCCAGAGGCAGGGACATCACAGCAGGTACAACAGAAACCATGAACAGTTTGCCTGAGGTACTTAACCATTGGCTGAGAAAGAGAATATGGTATTATGGGACTTAGAGGGCAGGGCTAAGCTGCCAGGAAATAGCCACCTAGAAACTAGCAGCTGGCCCTAAAAAAAGGATAGCTTTAAAAAAGTCAGGCTTTAATTATTCCAAACACAGGCTTCTAGAAATACATAATAAACCACTTAAGCCATTCATTTCCTCTTTCATCTGCCTGTTTGTCTTAAAGGGACAACCCAAAGTAGTAGGTCCAAATATGTAACACACCTTAAGTTGTAAACTAAGAATGCATAGGGACATTCACCTCATTTCAATTTTAGAAAATTCCTCCTCCTGAGTGTGAAACCCTTAGAAACAAGCCCTCAGGCACAGCTTGTGCAATGGGCCTGTTTATTGTATCTGGATCAGTAATGGTCTATGTCAGACTACTTTTTCCTCTTTTAGAAAGCAGTTTTTTGGTTGTATGCATTCATTTAAGCTGCCATTAGCATTTGTGTTGATTCCAGTCTATAAGAATGTTAGTTTCTTATTCTGAAAATGTCGGTGTATTTCGAAAGCAAGTACTTTATCGGCTTGGGGGGGTGGGGAAGGGCAACATACGTAACCTAAACATCTGTACCCCCATAATATGCTGAAATAAAAAAAAAAACAAAAACAAAAGCAAGTACTTTAAAAAATCCAATTCCATATTCTAATGATTTCCTTTTCTGTTCTAGGGAACCAACAATCCTATATTTCTAAGCAGTATTGCCTTCTTTCAAGACTCTCTTATCAATCAGATGACACAAATCAAACTATCTGTGTATGATGTCAAAGATAGATCTCAGGGAACAGTTAAGTAACTTGTGGTTTGTGGGATTTTTTTCCTTTTTTTAAAATTATGTAATCATTTGAAAAGCGAACACAGATTGACTTCACTACTGGCTCACAAATTAACTCATGTCTAAACATATTTGTCTTTGAGAATTTCTGAGCATCTCTATTTGGCTGCTGACATGAGGGTAAGGTGTGTTGTGGGAACTGGCCAGCCGGACTCCCTCGGGCCGTGGTAATTGAATCCGAGGCAAAGCCAGCACACTAATGCAGTCTCTCTTCCCTTTTCTTCCTCAGATGTATTTACTGGGCTCTGGAACATTCATTGTCAAAGATCTGCTCCAGGACAGGCATCATAGGTTACATTTAACACTAAGGTTGGTATTTAATTTTATTGTTTTGAAAGAATCTAGAATTATGGGGTCCAGGGACAGATGGGGAAAGGCCCCGTTTCCTATGCTGAGAGTGCACCCTGTCCCCGCCAGAGGCCAGTTTACCTGGGGATGTAGTTGTCAATTGAAGCAAAGGAATTACTCAGCCTATCAGGAAATGGAAATGTGTGGCATTTGTAGGAGATAGGAGCACAGCTATGGTCAGACCTAAAGGAAAGCCTAGATAGCTAATAGTACTAAATGTGTTTGCCTGTTACTTGTTCCCTCCCAATAGAATGTAATCTCCCAGACAGCAGAGATTTTTGTCTGCTTTTCTTCATTGCTATATCCCAAGGACCTAAAACAGTGCCTAGTGTTCAATAAATATTTGTTGACAGAATGAATGAATGAAAGGGAACTCCCCCACACACACTCTGTCCCTGCCTGGGAAGATGAAAGATGTCAAGATGTCAACCCTTCTAAATTCATTTTAGGGGAAATTTCCACCAAAGCCCCTGACTTGGTGTTCTTTCTTTCAAAATAATGTAAAAAGTGGAAAAGAGTCCAAAATAGCAAAGGTGGCCTGGCATGGTGACTCATGCCTATAATCCCAGCACTTTGGGAGGACGAGGAGGGAGGATCACTTGAGCCCAGGAGTTTGAGACCAGCCTGGGCAACATATCAAGGCCTTGTCTCTACCAAAAAAAATTTAAGAATTAGCCAGGCATGGTGGTACATGTATGTAGTCCCAGCCATTCGGGAGGTTGAGGCAAGAGGATTGCCTGAGCCCAGGAGTTCAAGGCTGCAGTGGGCTATGATTGCACAGGTATACTCCAGCCTGGGTGACAGAGTAAGACCCTGTCTCCAAAAAAAAAAAAAAAAAAACCCAACGAAGAAAATTTGACAAAGAAGATTAAGTCCCTTCAATAGCAAAACATTCTGAAACTACTGTAAGTAATGACAGTGTTGCAGGCATTGGCTGTCCAATCAGTGGACAGGACATGAGCCCTGTGGTAGCTCTTAGCATGTATGGAGAACTTGATTCAGGAAGACTCTTAAGTAAAATAAGGAGGGATTGTGTGAAGGAGGGGGATGTTGGAGAAAAATATTTAGGTACATCATATGCCAGAATTAATTCTAGTTAGGTCAGATTTAAATGTGAGAAAGGGACCTCATTCTTTGTTAAAAAAAAAAAAAAAAAAGTTAAAGATGACTATTGAACAGATAGTTTGGGGAAGGACTTTTCTAGGCATGAGAACAATAAAAGTTACAACGGAAATGGTCAGTAGATGTAACCATATAAAAATTGAGAACATGGCTAAGTCAAACATCATAAATAAAAAGCCCGAAACTCCCCTGGATGAATCATATGGGCCCAGGCAGCTGTCAGCCACCCTGAGGGGCCTCGGGGTTAAAGCTGACTAGGGCTAGAGTGGTATCAACTGTATCATATCTGGATTCAGGGCTTCAGGAAACCCTGGCTGATCTCAGTTTACTTGGCGTGCAGGCCTTGGCCTTAGTCTTATGGCTAAGCAAGGTATGAGAGTAGAGTGGGAAGGAACAGAAAGGGGTCAGAAAAAGGTGCTCTCCAGTCCTGACTCTGAGATGTGTCTCCATCACCCTCTGGGCAGGGGTGAGCTCAGAGGCTGCTGGCAGCTCAGGAGCAACATTGGCTTCTCTTCAGGGAAGCCCTCCCCGACTTCACCTGGCACTTCCATACTTCCCTATGGTGCTTTGTCCCCTCTCAGACACAGCCCTTCTCTGTGCCCCATGGTTTTCTTGTCTACATCCCCTGGCGGGAGATTGTGCATGTAGTGAATGCTGACTGACTGACCTGTTGTCCAGGCCTTGTTGCTCCTAGGACCCCTCGATGACCCAGGGTGGCTGGGCTGTGCATTTAAGAAGAAAAGAAGCACAGGTGCCACACTGCTCATCAAAGCACGTGCTTGTTGCAGGTCTGCAGAGAGCGACCGTGTGGGTAACATCACTGTTATCGGCTGGCAGATGGAGGAGAAGTCAGACCAGCGGCCCCCTGTGACCCGGTCTCTGGACACTGTCAATGGGAGGGTCAGTATGCCACCTTCCTCCTCTCCCTTAGAAAGAGCAAGAGGAACTGTCCATGTGGACTCAGCCTCTGTGCTCAATGAAGGGCAGGGCCTGCTGCTTAATCCAACCCCCTCCCCACCAACCTACCCAGCAGAATGCTCCAGTTCTCCCCAGGCACATCTCGCAGTAGGGAGCAAAGGCTCCTGGCCTGCCAGGCTCTGCTGCCCTGGAGCCTGTGTCTGCTCCGGATACCACACTGGCCACCTCTAAGAGTGGGAGCGAGTAGGCAAGAGCCCTGCTGAGGAACTGCAGCTGGGAGGGGAGACTGAGAGGTGTGGTGCATGAGCAAAGAGGTGTTTGAGACCTGGGTCATCTGTTATTTTGTTAATATCCTCCTCTCCCAGACCCATGTGCCCTGCATGCGCCTTGTACACACCCCGCCTGCTCAGCCCTTTCCCTCTCCCCCATCCTCTCCCCTTATCCAACACACACCTTCCTGCACCTCCTCCCATGCACATTCTCACACAGACACTCGCATGCTCTCAAAGGAGAATTCTAATTTAAGAGCCCCACCATGGAGAAGTAGTCATTGTTGTGAAATACAGAGATATCTCATTTTACCCAAAATAAGCCCATAATGTTAGCTCTGAAAATATTCCTTGGCATCATCTATTCCCTTCCTTTCATTTTATATATTAGGACACTGAAACACAAGGTGAAATGACCGAGGAGATATGCGTGTCTAGATAATTATGTATGCATGGAGTATGTTCAGTACACTGGGAGGTGGATTAATTTGTGGCTTGGGCAGCAGGTTTGTTGTAGAGTTAATGGTGGATATTCATTTTAAGAGTTCTTTTATGGTGTACTTAGGCCACCATTTCTGCTGAGTGCTCTGAAGCCAGCTGAGTCTCACAGTTTTCTTGTGCTTTTCTGTACACATTATTAGATGGTTCTACCCGTCGATGAGAGCTTGACTGAGGCATTGGGAATCCGATCCAAATATGCTTCCTTGCGAAAGGACACTTTACTGAAATCGGGTAAACAGCTTCCTCCTTTGGTATCCTTGCCACTCTTGTGAGTGTCCACTCAGGCCCATGATTGTCACAGCGTGCACCCTTATTCTCACCTCTCTGCTTGTCAGCAAGCTCTTCTTTTTGCAGCATAGGAAGAGTTAGTAATACTCCGAGGAAGCCAGATGCCTCCTTCGTTTCACTCTTTCTCGTTTTGCATTGGGTTTAGTGACTGATAACCTCCCTGCTCACAGCTGCTTGCACTTTAGAGTTAGTCACATGTTCTGGGATGAGAAGATTGCATGTTGCAATGGAGGAACATTCAGGCTCAGTCACTTGGTGGGCTTTGGTTTAAGTGTTTTAATTCCCTTGAGATGAATGGTGAGAGGACTTGAAGGTGTCAGCATCATTGAGGGTCAGGGGAGGAGGACCCGCAAGGCAGGTCTGCAGCCAGCTCTCACACAGCCTCTGTCTCCCCTGCCACCCCACCTCAGTGTTTGGTGGTGCCATCTGCCGCATGTACCGGTTTCCAACCACCGACGGCAACCACCTGCGGATCCTGGAGCAGATGGCGGAGAGCGTGCTGTCCCTGCACGTGCCCCGGCAGTTCGTGAAGCTCCTGCTGGAAGAAGATGCAGCCAGGTGAGGCCACATGGAGAGACTGACCCTCCATCACACCCATGTCATGTGCCCCTTCCTTTCTGAGATATGGTGGGCATAGCACCAGCATTAGATTGGCCGAACTGCAGACCCAGCCTCTGCCCCTTGCTGGCTTTGTGGCCTTGGCTTGCCAGAGCCTCAGTTTGCTCATCTGTATCACAGATTCCTGTGCAAGGAGTTCATAAGACAGTATGCTTGAAGCCCCAGGTGTCTGCCCAGCACTCAGCACCTCTTCCCTTCTGTTCCCCTTTTCTTTCCCCTCTTGTTCATCCTTCAGAAAGTTAGAAATGGCAATCATTCTTTGGGCATAGCTGCTCAGATCAGTGAATTCCTAGGTCAGGACCACAAAGATAAGGGCTCCAGAAGACTGAGTATGACCTATAGGGCACTCTGGTCCCATAGGGTATGGGTCTCAATCCCTCTGCATCTCTCAGCCCAGGGCATATTTTATTCCCTTATTAGTCCTAAGGCAGGGAGATGCCTGACAAGTGGTTCAGGCCCTGCAGATTTATGTCTCTTGTCTGTCTCTGTCTTAGTCCATTTTATGCTGCTATAACAGGATACTAGAAACTGGGTAATTTATAATGAACAGAAATTAATTTGGCTCATGGTTCTGGAGGCTGGTAAGTCCAAGAGCATGGTGCTGACATCTGGCAGAGGCCTTTGTGCTGTGTCATCCCATGGCAGAAGGCATAGCATGTCGAGAGAACTTGTGAGAGGGGGCTGAACTCACTTTTATAATAAACCTACTCCTGCAATAGCCAACCGACTCCTGAGATAATGGCATTGTTCTATCCATGAGGGCAAAGCCTTCGTGACCTAATCACCTCTTAAAGTTTCTGTCTCAGAACACTGTTACATTGGGGACGAAGTTTCCAACACATGAACCTTGGGGGACACATTCAAACCATAGCAGTGTCAGACTGTCATTTCTACTCCTTGTCCTAAAAAGATGTTAATTACAAACACAACGGAGGCATGAAAGAAAACAAGGCAACCAGAGTCTTACTGTTTTAATACAGTTATTTTGTTTTAATTTTTTATCTCAAAAAAAATTAAAAGTTAAAAATGGCAAGAATAATGCAATAAGTACCCAAATTCCTTTCACCTAAATTTGCCAATTCTTAATATCTTGCTAATTGCTTATTTCTACATACATAGAGGTATTTAAAAATTTTCTTTCCACCTTATTTGTATATATTTACATAGTGACAGTCGCCTTTTCCATGTATCTTCACTTTTCATGTTTTAATTTTTAATTGTGGCACAATTTCCCATGACGTGGTGTATTACAACTTTAAAGAGTACCTCCATTTAACAAGTGCTTTAGTTCAGAGTTTTGTTGTTTTTAGCTACAACCACATGTCAGGCACTGTGCTCAGTGTGGGAGGCTCCTTGGTGAGCTCGACAGACTGTGGGAGGTGGTCAGACGCAGAGCTGGGAGCCACACGGCAGCTCCAGATGTGTCAGCCTGTGCTGGAAATTAAAAGGGAGCTGCGAGAAGGAACAAGGTGATCCGAGCAGGCAGGCCTCTGTGACAAGGTGACTTTAAGCTGACACTGAGACATGAGAAGAGCTTCATGAAACACAGGGCAAAGACATTCCAGAGAGAGGGGCCAGCAGCCGCGAGGCAGCCTGAGCTCCTGTGCTCAGGAGCGGCCTGAGGCCAGCAGGCTGGTGGCTAGCAGTAGACAGGGCCTCGACCTCTCCACAGCCCTGCCTGCTGGGTGTTCTTTTACATTAATTTTGCTATTTTAATAATAATAAAATGGCACAACTTTTTTTTTTTTTTTAATTTCAGGCAATTTAGTAGATTCCCACGAAGTTTTATGAAATTCGTTTTGTTTTTTTTTTTCTGAAAGGAAAGCATTTGCATAGTATAAAAAGCCAAATAGTGCTGAAAGGTTTTTAACTAAAAACGTAACTCTTGGGGCCCTCTACTTTCTGATGTACTTCCCAGAAACAATCACTTTTTAGTGGATTTAGTGTTTACTGCTATATTTCTAAATATATACATATTTTCTTTATTAATCAGTTTCAAATATTAGCTACTGATTTCCTGTGATGGGGATTTTAGGCCTTTCCTACTTTCCCAGTCACCATTTTCCTAGTATGGTTATCCTTTTTTCTTTTTTAATCTGTTTCGTGTTTTTGCTCTTACGATTATACAGCTATTATTCATTGCTAAGCTAAGGAGTTTATATTTCACTTCTTGTACAGCTTTTATTTTTCTGAAGATAGCAATTCCTCTTTGTTTTTCTCTTCCTCCCACCCCCTCTCCTGCCTCTGTCAAGCACATACATATAGGACATGGCCAAGGCCAGGCCTGTGTGATCCAACCAGAAATGACACAGCAGGCCTCTTTTAGATTCAGGCAGCTCCTTACGTACATAGACAGTGGAAGGAAGAATAGCCAAAGGCGCCGGCTCTCGTGGTGCTATTCCCATACCCAAAAAGGGCAATGCTGAGACAAAAGACGCCAATGACTACAGCATGAGCTGAGGAGCCAGCTCTAGGCTGCCGCTGAGAGGTTTTATATTCTGCAGCGCGGTTCTCATGGGGGCAGGCACAAGTCCACACCTCATTAGAACCTGGGCAGTCTGCGGTTCCAGCCTCTTCCTGAGCAGGTACCTGCAGGGTCACCAGGGCACCATGGTGGAGCCACTCACTGACAGCTTCTCTCCTCCCACCTCTACTTCATTTCCCTTAACACTCAACTGAGTTTCTGTAAAAAGCTTCTCCATACACTCCCCCACATGGTTAGTGGTCTGCCTACCATGTAGCTGTCCTCACCCCCCACCCAGTTGCCCTTTAGACTGGCAGTGTAACCATTGTCCTGGCCCGCTCTGGGCATCAGTGATATGTCCACATACATTTTATTTTCCTGGGTAGGGCTTTTGGGGCTCCCTAGGGAAGTGAGCTAGCCCCACGGCCTGACGTGTGTGTGCCTTGCTTACAGAGTGTGTGAGCTGGAGGAGTTGGGGGAGCTGTCCCCTTGTTGGGAGAGCCTCCGGCGCCAAATCGTCACCCAGTACCAGACCATCATCCTCACGTACCAGGAGAACCTGACTGACCTCCATCAGTACAAAGGTGCGTGTGGTCCGGTCCAGGCACAGCACACCAGCGCTCGCTTCCCCGGCCAGAGATCTGGAACCCACGGTTGCTCACATACTCCCACTGACAGGCACCTTAATGGATTTTTAAAAATAGCTTCTCATGTAGGTGTGAATTCTTTCAAATATGGGTTTTTCAGATCTTAATTAAAAAGACAAATCTGTGAATTGCAGTGAAAAGTCCTCCTGTGGTGTCATCTGCCAAAACAGCCACTGTAGAATGAAATTTAGGGGAGACAAAATCACCAGGCTATTACTGGTTTGTGTTATTTCTTCATCTTGGGCTAATAGCACTAAAGTGAAGTGACCAAAAGGACATAGGACACTTTCTAGATTTCCTGGTTTAAATAGTTAGTGGTACTCGCATTGAATATGTAAATTGTCAGGAACTCTCCATTTTAAGGCTCAAAACAGCAAGTGAAGCGCAAACACCTCGCATTTTCTTCTTGAAAGGTGCCATTTGATTTACAAAACAGTCTTAGATAGATTTGGAAGACTGTTCTTAACTTGTTCCTCTTTTATTCCACATGGAATGAATTTTTTTGGTTTTTCATTACTTTATGTATTGCTTTAGCATTTCGAATTATTCCCTGTCTTCAGATTCTTCTCTCTACATAATGAATTTCAGGGTTTAAGGAAAATCATAACCCCTTAATGTGGTTTTGCCATAGAACATATGAACTTGGATGAGAAGCCAAATGCAGGACTGACAAAGTTGTGTTGCCTAGGGTCGGTTTGAGTATGAAGAGCATATCATTAAGAGAAGTGGCAGTGTTTGCCTGAAGGAGACGAGGGACTTCTCCGTGCCAGAAGTCTGTTACTCAGGAAAGTAGAAGCCCACACAACCTTGAGTTTCCTAGAGCAGAGCATCTCAAATGTCAGTGTGCATCCAAATCCCTTAACGATTTTGTTGAAACATAGGTCTGGGATTCTGCATTTCGAACAGGCTCTTGGGTGCTCATGCTGCTCTGTGGACCACACCCTAAGTATCAGGCTCTAGAGAGCATCTCCTGTGGCAAGATGCATAACACACACTGCTTGTCTGTGGTTCGTATGTTGGCAATATAAATTTTTTTTTTCCACGAGACAGAATGTTTATTTCTTCTACTCTTCTGATTGTCAGTTCAATTTGTAATCCCTTTGTTTTGTAGGCATGTGTTTCTCCACTTAATTAGTTATGGATTCTAATTATAGAAATAAGATTGTGGGTACTTGTTACAAAACATTGTCCGACCTCCTTAACCAAACAAGCGTAAACAAGGGAACATGTTTAAGTTTGTGTTCCAGAGGGTTAGAGTCGGTGCTGTATTGCATTTGTTCATCTTGATGGACCTGGGTTCATCAGCAGAGCTTTTCATCACTTTTCATAACTGAAAGATATTGCTCTAGCCAAACCAGTTTCTTTGATTGTGGATAATGGCCACCCCTAGGTTTGGAACAGGCAGTCTCTGGCATGGACCCCTTTGCTTTTTATAGTAGTGCTGACATCGTGCTGCATAAAATCACATCTTTGTGTCAGATCTCAGCTGAGAGCTGAGTCATGGAAGGCACAGTATCATTACCATAGCCTTCTGAAGCTGGCTCTCCCTGGCTCTATTCGCCACCTAAGCACCCAGAACCAGTCTCCTGGCCAGCAGGCTGCCTTCCCATCAACGTTTCACCCACCCTCCATCTGCAAATGAAATGTGCTCTTCAGCAACTCAGAATTTTCTAGGCTACTGCCAACACATACCTACTTACATGTAGCAGCATCCTCTTAATACCATTTTTCTGATTCCTATTCAGGAATGAAGGACATTTGTTGATGGTCTTTGTTTTCTCATATTCTACTTCTTAGGTCCCTCATTTAAAGCAAGCAGTTTGAAAGCAGATAAAAAGTTAGAATTTGTTCCCACAAACTTGCACATACAAAGGATGAGAGTTCAAGACGATGGAGGATCAGGTACCTATTTTTTTTGCCCCTCTTGTTAAATCACATTTCAATTCTTTTCTCCCTGGGTATTTGGTCCCTGAGTACCCTACACCTACCCCAGCTTCCCTGTATGTTCTGGGTGGCTTGGAGAAGAGACTTGTCACAAGGACCTTTGAAAGGTCTCTGTTAAAGAGCCCAAACCCCTACCCCTTATCTCCCTGCTCTCTGGCTTCCCTTTGTGTTTCTGCGGCATCCCAAGGAGGGATGCAAACAAGTATTGTTGGGTGTTTTCCTGCAACCCTGTGTGGCTCCACCTGGAGACACAGAACCCCTCTTTGCTGAGAAGATGGTGCTGGGCTCCAGCAGGCCCTTGGACAGCCCAAGCTATGGGATTAAGGGAACCAAAATCTTCTTGGAAATGGGCTGGAGGGGCAGGATCCAAGACTTGTGTGCATATCCCTGTAGCTGGCTCGTCCACAGGCCTGAGCCCAGAGTAATGGAGGAGAGCTTTCTGTCATTCAGATCAGAACTACGATGTCGTCACCATCGGAGCACCAGCAGCACACTGCCAAGGTTTTAAGTCAGGAGGTCTCCGCAAAAAGCTGCACAAATTTGAAGAGACCAAGAAACAGTAAGTAGCCAGAGGGAGTTTGTGGTCCTTATACAGCCGTCTGTTGCTTCCTAGTTTAAAAAAAACAAAAATCAGAATTCGACTGCAAAAACATCCAGCCATCTGATCTGCTTTCGCGTGGCTGGAGGAGCTGCCTATAGACCTTGTGTTGCTGTGGGTGTGTGTGCGTGCGTGTGACTGAGCTTTGTGGGTCACAAGGGCACTGGATTAATGGTCCCGTTTCTGCAAAATGAATAGCAAATTGTGGTTCACCTTAAAGTGGTGCTCCAGGCAGCCACCCTGTGTGGACTCTCTGCTGGCTCATTGTCCTTTATAGGGTCCCCTGGTCAGTCATTTGAACTCCACAAGCATAAAGCCTGAAGCACGTTGTTTTCTTTCCTAAAGGATAGCAGTGATAAACATTCCTAGTTTTTAAAGATCCCGTGGGGTACACGGAGCTACCGTCCTGAAAAGGAAACTGCCACACAGGCAGAGTGGGGAAGGGTATTTCAGACAAGGGGAAGGCAGAAAGACGTGGCAGAAACAGCACATGCGGTGAGGTGTGGCCAGATGCACAGTGCCAGGGGAGAGAGCTAAGGTGGAGAGCTCGCCTTGCCACCAGCCTGCTCTGTGCTGGGTCCTGCACTGGTGACCAGGGATGCAGGGCCAACAGATCTAGGTGTGTCCTGGGAGCAGACAAGTCAGCAAGCGCCATTTGGGTGAGCAGTGCCTCAAACATCACACAGAGAGTGCTGGGGAGCATGGAGTAGGGCACTAGCCCAGCCTTGGGGACAGCAGGGAGAGAGCCATAACTCAAAGCTGTTTTAGATGTGTGGGAGGCATTGGTGGTCTTCCAGAATGTCACCTGTCAAGACTTAAATGAAGTGGAGGTAATGAGTATAGATGATCCCATAAGGTTCTGGGACAGACCACGATGTAGAGGTCTCAGGTTTGGGGAGAGTAATTATGACTTGAGCATATGTCTAAGCTGATAGGAAAAAGGAAAGTGGGTGAGGTGGGTGAATAAGAAGAGGACATTGGTGGAGCAGGGTTCTGAGAGGATGCAAAGAGGAAGGACCAGGGAGTTTACCCAGAAGGGATGAGAGAAGAAGGCGGAGTTGCAGGAAGATTTTTGAGGTGGGAAGGGACAAGCAGAGGTGTTGATGGACAGCCTCTGCAGAACATGGGTGGAGAGGGTGGGACTTATCAACTGAGAATGGAATGGCTTAAGGGAAGGCGAGCAAAGGCCCAGGGAGTGCGAAGATTATCCTGTGGATGATCAGTGGAGAGCTCCAGCAGTCACGGTGGAGCCTGAGTCAGTGCTGCTGTGGCTGGGAGTCGGGAAACTACTTGAGAAAACTGACCATGGATTGGATCAGGGTGGAGTGAGAGGTCAGGTTCATGGCTGATTAGTGGCTGAGGGGGTGAGGGATGCAGCTAGGAGGATCACAGACCATGGGCAAGGCCGGATGGCTGAGCAGGGAATGGAGAAGTCACTATTAAGATGTGTGTACAGGCCGCCCTAGCCCAGCCCAGACCCAGCAAGTCCTGGAGACGGAATGAGGAGAAACCAGGCAGGGCTGTGGTTAGGAGGGGAATTCCAGCATTCCCTGGGAGGCCCCCAGACAGCCTCTTTGACCTTGATTCTTCCCCACCAAGGGTGCTTCCCAGTGCAGACAAACCCCCTAACCAGACCTGCTTTAGGATTCACTGACACCAGTGTTCCTAAGGGAACTATGAAGACGACAAGGCTTCCTGTGCCTACTGCAGCTCTGCACAGCCAGTCACAAAGCGTGTGTCTGTCGCTCTGTTGCATGTTGCCGTGTGGAGAGAGTGAGCGTGCGGCGTGAGATGGCGCAGTGCTGTGATGGAGAAAGCCCTTTAATTCTGTGTGGCCAATCAAGAGAGCAGCCACTTGGCTGGCTTTGTCCCAGGAAGGTTGGGGTATTGATACCTGATAACGCTGCATGTTTATTTCAGAACCTATTCCCCCATATACCTCTTTAGTATCTTTCAAGTATATAAATTTTTATTTAATTTTTTACTAATGTCATCAAACAACTTACAGGTATGGTTTTCATCATTTGAACTTTCCTTTAAATGCAGAGGTCACTTGTTCCCTAGTGAGATGTCTGCCTGGGGCTTGAGCACAGGCAGTGAGACTGCTCTAATGAACAAGTACATTGGACTCTTGAGTTTGATCCTCCCCGTGTTGGGGCCTCCACAAATAATTTTAAGTATTTTGACAAAAAATAACAGCTTTTTAATTTTTTTCTTTTGCATTTGGTATTTGCTAACAAACTGCTAATATTTCATTTTGGTTCTTTTCTTTAGCAGTTTTGAGGAGTGTTGGTGAGTTTTCTGTCTGTGGAGCGAGTGTCTGTTTGGGTCTTGCTCTCACGCAGAGAAAGCCTGTGCTGTTCCCAGCCCCACCGTGCAGGTGTCACCCGAGGGCCCACCAAGGGCTCCAGTCATACACCTCGGAGACAGAGTTCTCCCTTCCAACTGCAATGTTCTTTAATAATGAATAGCCTATCTCCAGTCTGCTGTTTTATCTTTAAAACCGGGCAGCGGTTTGTTGCTTTGCTCACTCTGAGAAAGGACCCAGTTTCTCCCAGGAAGAGGAAGACCTGGCCCAGGAAGCCCCCAGGTGCTGGGATCTCAAGTCAGCCTGTCGCTGTGGTTGGGAACCCTTTTCTGTCTTCTACAAGAGTCTTGAGGCTTTTTAGTTTTCACTTTACCATTACCTCTTGAATGAATGAAGCCAGCCTACATTTTCATACTTAATAATTTATGCAGATTTTTAAAACAGTTTTTTAAACCAGAGACAGTTTTATCCCTGGGTGGGGGGGTGCAAGCCAAGAACTAAAACAACTGGGCGACTTTTTCCACCAGAGAATTAGATGGCAGTTAGAAACCACCATGTCTGTTGCCTGGGGGTCCCTACTGCTGCCTCAGGCCCAAAACAGGGGTTCTGTGTTGGCACTTCATTCAGAGGCACCTGCAGCCCTTTGAGAAGTGCTGCTGCCAGTGACCAGTGAGGTTCTGGGGCTGTAGCTGGGCCCTGCTGTGAGCATCTGGCAGCAGGAAATCCTGTGGATACACCCCCAAAACACCCAGGCTGAGGCCTCTCCAACTATCCCCTGAGGGGGGCCTTCCTTATCTGGGTATTTTAGGTATAAGGGAGGGAGGAGGGTATCTGGGCAGGGTCACTGCTGCTCCTGCCTCTGGGAGGGGGAAACCCATAGCCACATCTATGGAAGTGGCCCCCTCAGGCACCCCTCCCCTTCTTTTCTGTACTGGGGCCTGTTTGAAGGCCCCCCCTTTCCCATAACAAATACTTAGAAGTAGGGCCTGGGGGCTGGAGGAATGGGCAGTGGGACAGGGAGAGCCAAAGGCCCAGCTGCCCCCAAGACCTGCCCCTTGGTAAGTCTCAACCCAGAAGGTTTTGGTTGAACTTTGTCTGGAAAGTTCCTGAGGAACTAACCTTCCTCAGGTTCTCTCTAAGGACCCTCCACAGCCCAACCTGGGCCTGGTTACTCCCACCCTCTGCCCGCTCTTCCCATATACAAGACACCCCTGTGAGAGGTGGGGGATGGAAGGGAGGAGAGGAGTGATGAACAGGGGGCATGTTTGTGCCTGGACCTGTGAGGGCTAACTCCCAGTCAGAGAGTGCCCAGCCTCCTAATCCTCCTTCCCTATGTGGAACCCAGCTCCGTGAGAGCTCAGACTCTGCTCGGCAATCCTGATCTACTTCAGATGTCCAGAGTGACAGCTGTTCAGCCAGCAGCCATTCCTGGCCAGCACCACAGGATTCACCCTTATGCTCACATGGCATCTTCAGTTTAGCCCATGACCCCAGGTCTGGATAGGTCTGAGTCAGGGGCTCTGGGGTGGTGGCCTAACGCAAGGCTGAAGGGCCATATCTAGGTCGCTGCCTCCTGGGGATGCCCCAGAAGTTCTCCAGAAGAGGTGGGAGCATAGGTAGTTAGTGGGACCAGGAGTCCCCCTTCACCAGAGTTAAGACTCCTGGGAGTACATGTGTTGTGAAGCAGCAAGATGTCCATACCCCCACCCCACCTCCTTCATGTGGCTACCTCGTTTTTAGAACTAGGTAGCTGAGCACATGTGTTTGTATATTTCTGATCATCCCTGGACAACAGCTCTTTTAAATTTGCCGTTTCTTGCCTGTTCCATATATGCCCCATGCATGAGTCCCAGGTACTATTATTAGAACATGACTTGTAAAAACACTGGTGAGTAGAGGGTGATGTTTTTCTCTTGGCCTCGGGGGAGGGTATGTATTTGTTGAAGTGTACACAACCACCTACATACACAGAAGTAGATCTACATATAGCACATGTTACATACATACTCTAAATTTGGGGGGCCTGGGAAGAATATATTCTTAAAAATACTATTTAGAGATTGTATTTTAAAAACCAAATTGTCTTAAATGGCAGCTATTCATTTGGAAGAGTGATTGCAGATTGGAAAGTAGTTGTGTGCACATTGCACTGTGGAATGACTCTCGTGGTACCACGCAGGCTTGGTTGTGGTCTGCTGCATGGGCTTCTGGCAAATCCATCATTTTTATTGTGGTGTATGGACTTGTGGTGGTGGTGTTTCTTTCTGGGGTGCTTTGGTTTTTGCATGTTTGCCCTATAGTCTGTCAAGGGAAGGGGCAGCAGCAGTTTCTTGATGACCCACTTTTAGGTTTCCCTGGAAAGGGTCCAGTGGGGAAGATTCTCAGCCCTGACCCAGTGACCCTGATCTCCAGGAGAAGCAATGGAGGGTGTGGTGAGAGGCACCCTCTCTCCTCCACCTTCTTCGTCTTCCCCAGAACTCAAAGGGTGGCCCTTTGAGGGATCAGTCAGGGCCTCTCATTCAATGATCAAAGGGACATCCATTCTACCCAGAGCGCACAACTTCAAATTTTAGGAGGAGACCTCTGAATTGGTGGCTTGTACTTCTCCTTGCTGCTTTCTTTGGTTTAGTCAGATGGTCTGAAAAATAAATTTATAATATCAGATTAATTGGGATCCAAGCTAAAAGGCATGCAATTATCATCACCGTTTAGGAGGACCAAACATGCTGGCAAGGCCCCACACAGCCAGGGGACATAGAGTTCGTCCTTTAGAGGCTCCAGTTGTGTTGGACAGCATCTGGGCTTTGACATCATATCCCTAAATAACACATGCTATTTGGTGCTGAGGAGAGGGGAAGGAGGAAGAACCAGTGTGTCAAACCCATAGAAGTGTTGTCTTAACATGTTTTACACTTCTACTTTGATGGAATGTTATTTTTCAAAGTGGGGAAGTCTTGGAGCAAGAGAGAGGGAAAGGAAGCCCAATGTCCTGGGGATTTGCTGGGGTCACGCATGTGAGGGAAGAGGACTGTGAGTATGTTCACAGAAAGCTTGAGGTCTGATTGGCCAAATGAAAAAACAGATTTTGATTTCCAGGGGCAAAGTCCATGACCCACTGCAGTCTTTCCCTTCACTGTGTTAACCTGACCCCTCTGGTATAAGCACACCCCATGTCTCCACTTAACTACTGCTTATAAGTTAATAGATGAGATTCGGAGGAGAAAGATTATGAGCGTTGGGGTAATTGCTGGGTATAGTTGTTCAATATCTGTACACACATTAACATATACATGGTGAAAATACAGATACATACAAATACAGATGAAAGACTTAGTCATATTTTAATATTTCAAGCTTCTACTATATAGACAAAAAGAATCTCCTAAGATTTACTCTTGCCCATCAATAACTAGACATCCCTGAGTCTAGGAAAACATCCCTGAGTAACAGAATGCTTTATCAGGGTTAGTTGTAGCTGGGATTGGGATGATGCTGCCATCCTCATCAGATTCAAGAAAACCCCTTAGAATCTATTCTTATCCTTTTTAGTACATCATCTAGCTGCCAGTCCATAATCTACATACCACAGGACGTTGTCAGAGCCAAGGAGATCATCGCCCAGATCAACACCCTGAAAACTCAAGTTAGTTACTACGCAGAGCGGCTCTCAAGGGCAGCCAAGGACAGGTCTGCCACTGGCCTTGAGAGGACACTTGCCATCTTGGCAGATAAGGTAGGAGGGGCTGCCCTGCTGCATGTGGGCTGGGGGGTTCCCTTGGGTTTCTGGAAGTCACTGGACATCACAGGGCAGCCCAGGTGTGCCTAGAGATGTCCACAAAGAGAGTGACACTGCGATGAACTTGAAGGTCCATCTTTAGGGCCATTTCCCACAAAGGCTCAGGGAGGTTTGGTGATTTGCCTGTGTCTACAGAACTGCGCAGGCCAGGAACAGGGCCCAGGGCTTATGACTCTCGGGTGCTGCTTCATGCAGATGTGTCTTCCAGCAAGTCCATGGGGCTTACTTTATTGCGGCTGATACAGTTCCACAACTTTCTTAATAGAAAATTGTTTTTTTGTTTGTTTTTTGTTTTGCCTCATTTCTATTGTACTTGAATATGAAAAAAGAAACTGAGCTATTATTGTACACACATAAGAACAATATAATTTTATTGGCTTACATAGTAAACCAGCTTCTAATTAACTGTAACTTGATCCTGATTTAAAAATATATAAATATTGGTCCATACCGAGGGAGTGGATATATCAGACCCCTTTGATGGATGATGCTTTTTCACATTACTCAGTCTCCCTCTCAGCGCGCACACAGACACACACACACACACACACACGCACACGCGCATGCACATTCTGATTACACCTCCCTACTTTGCTGGGTTGAGCTTCTGTTCTTGACCAGAATGTGTTATATCCTTCATATATGTTCACATAGCAGAAACATTGAGAAGTGGGGATTAGATCCATTGGAAAAGAAAGACATAGTTGTCAGCAGTAAAATTATGCAGCACAGAAACCCAGTTACATACGAAATTCTCCAAAACCAGACGTGCTGTGCCAGGAGTCTAGCTGCCCAGAGCCCAGCACTTCAGGTATTAGGTGCTGAGGAGCAAAAAGACAAGGCTTCAATGATTGAACCAAAGTGATGCCCAACCCCTGGAGATTTGCTACCTGGAGGTTGGAGGACAGCCCAGCAGGTCTGCCAAGGCTGGGGCAATTGGCCCACTCCTCAGGCCCTTCTCCTAGTGATAGCAGGTCAAAGGCAGGCAGGGGTCAGAGGATGTCAGAGATTTCTCAGCCTCCTTTCATCTTCCTTGTGTTCTCTAGTCTTGGTGGGAAATTCCTGCTAAGAATCAGCCCAGCTGGGCCACATGGCAGCCTTTGTACTCTGACATCCTAAGGGATGCAGCTCTGTAGTTGCTTTGTGCTGTGGAGAAGGGCAGGGGGCATGATGCTGGGCCTTGGCCTGTTCTCCTTCTCTGAGGGAAGGCAGGCCTCCCAGCCCCTGGCCTGGGCTCAGCAGCCCTGGTTTGTTTGCGTCTGCAGACCCGGCAGCTGGTCACCGTCTGCGACTGCAAGCTACTGGCCAACTCCATCCACGGGCTGAACGCTGCGCGGCCTGACTACATTGCCTCTAAGGCCTCCCCCACATCGACGGAGGAAGAGCAGGTGATGCTTAGAAATGACCAGGACACCCTCATGGCCAGGTGGACCGGGAGAAACAGCCGCTCTTCCCTGCAGGTGGACTGGCACGAGGAGGAGTGGGTGAGTCTGCTGCTGTGGCCTGCCAGCCGCTGCTGAACTTGGGCTGAAAACCATGGAGCCTTTTGCCAGTCTCTTCCCTCCCCTCTGAGGTGCCTAAGTTACCTTCCCAGATGGTTCCTGGGCCCCTGATGTAGGGCTGGAGACTATTTTCAAACCTTTGTGTCCAGATGGGGAGCAGGGCTGTGCTGAGGGCTGGGCCAGCCTCAGACTGGTTACAAAGAAGGCGGGTTTTCCTCCTGAGCCCTTGCCCTGTTGGAGGTCTTCTCTCCTCTCCCCTGCCTGCGCCCTCTGTGACCCTGGCTGCTTGGGGCCAGCCAGCCTCTCCTGCTTCCTCAGTGCTCTGTTTGCCGTTAGCCCTTCCAGGGCTATTTATGTCTGGGGGGATGTGCTCAGGTGCTGGGGCAGCTAGGTGAGGATTTTGGAGCCACCGCCCCTGACATTGCATTGTGTTATTGTTCCTTCCAGAGTTGGTCCTAGGAGCAGGATATGTGTCTCTTGAGGGAATGACACGTTAGTTTTTGTCATTTGTTGGGTCTGCCACTTAGAGGCACTGTTGTGGGAGCACTGAATTATTAATCAGCAGCAAAATGGTCCTCCAGCTCTGGCATCCTGTAGTCTGTGTGGGTGTCTGCAAATCCCTCCCAGACCTCCCTTACCCCTCCCCTTCCTCCTATCCTAGATGGTCAGGTGTTTCCATTCCCTTCCATCAAAAAGAGACCTCCGTCCTATCCTTTGGGATGGTTGTGGGTCTGCAGTGGCAGGAAGAGGGGATGACACTGGTGCCTTGTGGCCCTTCAGTCAGCACTGGAAGGCTGTCTGCCTCCATGACAGTTATTAGCAAACATCTCCCAAACTTTATAAACAGTGGCTGTGTGACATTGATTTGTCTTTGAAAAGCGAACACAATTTATTGGGGAATTTTGAACCATCCGAGCAGGGAGTCCCAGGGTAGGGGATTGGCGGAGGGCATCGTGGTTTGTGTTCTGCTTGTTTTTCCCATTGAAAGAGCCGGCCCAAACAGGCCCCTTTGGTTTGGAAGGAGAAAGTGTGGCTGAACGTCGACAAGAGCCTGGAGTGCATCATCCAGCGCGTGGACAAGCTGCTGCAGAAGGAGCGCCTGCACAGCGAGGGCTGTGAGGACGTCTTCCCCTGTGCGGGCAGCTGCACCAGCAAGAAAGGTAACCAGAACAGCCACGCCTACTGGATCAGACCGGAGGACCCCTTCTGTGATGCCCCTTCCTCACCATGCCCCTCCACCATGCCCTCCGCTGCATGCCATCCTCACCTGACCACACGTGCGTATGCATCCACACTTCTACTCGCTCCTCCGCCTCACGCCACGTCACTTCTGTTCGTCTGTGTCTCTGACTCCGTGCCCCCTCCCCCATGCAGACTGCAGGGAGGGCTGTTAGAGCAGGGACGTCTCAGTGCATGGAGCAGCAGGCAGTGAGGGTGGAGGCCCCAGTTGGCTTTCCATGCAACCGGAGCCCGTTTATGAATCTGCGTCACCACCAAAGGCAGAACCTCAGTGCCCTCCCGGGACACACTGCCACGGCTGTAAGGGTTGGGCTCCTGGGCTTTTCAGGTTTGTAAACTGATCCAAGAACCTGAAGGAGGCTGGAATGCAGATGCTTTTCTAATGTGATTGTTTATTGTATTGGGAATTGGTAGAATGAAGGGGGCAAAGGTGAATTGTGCAGGGACACAGTTGGATGAGGGCAGTTAGCAGGCCCAGGGGACTTGTCTAAAGGCAGCTGGCATTGGCTGGGCACTCTTACCCAGTAGAGGCATGTTGCCTTGGGACTTGGTAACTCAGTCAGTGTGGAACCCTGTTCCCGAGCCTCGGGTAGACTGAGTTACTTTCCTCTTTTTCATACCATGCCTCAAGGTAGGACATTGGCATGAAGCAGCACAGTTCAGAAACAGTCTTCTGTCTGCAGAGACACAGAGCATACCCAGACACCCTGGCCTATGTATAGCCTTAACGTGGGAACACATGATTTCTAAACAAGTGGATCCTGGGTCCCTGTAACTCAGGTGCTTCCCTCCCTTTTCCTGTAAGAGCTGGAGAGGGTGATGGGCCAGGCAACTGAGACCTGGCTGCAGACCTAGCTTCTGCCTCCTCTTTGTTCCCCTGTGGGCGTCCTAAGCCATAGTAAGGCTCAGATGTACCAGGGTCAGGCTTCGTACAACAAGGTCTCTTAAATTCTGAATCATGCAGCTTCCATTTGAGGCAGAATCACGCTCTTTTGTCAGAGTCTCTTGATAAATCCTTTTGCCATTTATAAAATGTCCTTCGCCTCTTTAATCTGCCTGCAGTCTGTGTCCAGGGCCTTGTCTCACTTGAGCTCCTGTCTCAGTAGTCTTCACGTCCGTCATCCACGTTTCCATCTGTGGGAGATCATAGTCTAACTTCCCCAAACCTGTAATCAGTTCATGAGCTATTTTGTCTCTATTTGTGTTCTCGTTTTGGTGTAAATTGTATTTCTTTTGAAAATTTTCTGGAAGTTCGTTACTTCTTTTTAATATTATCTTGTTTATAAATTTTAATTGTTTTCTGCAGATATTAAAAGAGTAATTACTGGATTTTTTTTGAATGCAGGAGCTAGTTTGTTTGATCAGACATGCTTCGTATTCATCACTTACGTCATTTTTTTCCTAGGCATAATCTATATTTAAGTATAAACAAATTTCAGTTCACTCTGAAAATTATTTAAATGAGCATTTATTTATGATATTTAGGATTTGACTTGTGTGTACCGTAAAAATCAGCTCTGTTGTATTAGTAGGAACATGAAGCATATAATTGAGAGAGTCTAACTTGCTGATCAGTACTCAAAGTGTATGAAACCATATACCACTAAATTAACTGTGGAGAATCCTTAATTTAAAATCTTTAGCGTAGCCAGGAAGGTGTTCAGACCTCAGGAAGAACCAGTCTGTGAGCTAATTATTGTGGAAAATCACTGGTTTGCAGTGCCAGAACTTGGCTCTGTCATGACTTTTTACACCATTCCAAGTTACTGGAGCAGTTGTTTTGGGTTAATGAGCAGGGTATGTTCACACTGACATATTTATTATATTAGAACAATTCTCTACTGCTTTGAAAGGCATTGCCACTTTTCATTCCAATTCTCTACCCTGTCCTGGGTCCCACAGAACTGATCAGAGCCCTGCCTGGCCTGTGGGACCCACTGACAAGTCCCTGCCAGCTGGAACCACAGAGGCCTGTCAGGCCTTTCTCTCCTCCTCACCTCTCCACAAGTGCCCTACATCCAACCTAGGCCTTACCTGCTGAGGCACACCCGCTGCCATTGCCCCACCAGGATTTGGCGGCTTCTGCTGCCTTCCTCACACATCCTCCCTTGCTTTCCTCATACTCAATGAGGCATTCAGATCCCGGACCAGGTTTTTCTTAACGTTGGGTCCATAGGTGCACCCCAGGTTTCTTGTACCCCTGAGATTATTGCTGAAAATTTGCATGTACATGGAGAGAAAGTCCATAGTGGTCATCAAATTGCAAGGGACTCCACAACTTAATTTACAACCACTGGTCCATGAGTACCAGAGGAGACCCCCTCTCTCCTCCCTTGGATTGAAAGATGAATTTAGAAAGCTGGGTTTAATCCCTGATACCTCAAAGGAGTGGCCCCAGCTCAGCTGTACAAAAGCTCATAAAACAGGTTCCAGACCTCCTCCTCATCCACAGACTCAGAGTTCTGGAGGAGGGCATATGGGGATGCAAAAACTTGTATGTTTTCAAGACCTGGGCTAATTCTGATGAGCCAGACAGATGTTTAAAACTCACTGCCCTGTATCACTCCACGCCACTGTGGGTTTCTCTCCCTGTTAGCTAGACAGTTTCAGGACATATGGGTGCTAACAAAGAGGTTGAGCTCTTCAACCTACAGAGGCCTTTCTATTTTCTGTCTCCTTTGCCAGTTCAAGAAGTCACTTCCAAAGGTGATTAGAGAGAAAGGACCCCTTGCCACCCCCTTCTCAACTATCCAGGCTATAAAAATCTCCATGAAGCTGGATCTGGGTACTCTTGGAGATCTGAAACCACCTTGTTTCAATATCCTGAAGACATTGTTTGAACTGAAAAGCTCAGACAAAATAAAATTTTACTCCCACGATCCCTTTTCAAACTTGTTTTCTTCTAGGCGGCACACCCAGGTAACCAGGAATTTTAGAGTTTTTAAAAGAAATGTGAAATTGAAATGATTATATCCCAGCATGACTCAGTGTAGGTGAAATGGAATAAAAATTGGTATTCTTTGAGGACCTGGACCCAAATCACAAAACTGTTACATTTGGTTTAAATTTGAAAAATTGGCTGAGTTTTTTTGGTATATTGGTTTCATTACTGGCTCTTAATGCTTTGGATCTCAGCATCAATCCTGAGCCTGGGCTTCCCAGTGAGCGGGGCAGTGGGCTCCGACTTGGGAAGGCTGTTTGCTGGTCAGTCTCTCTCACTACAAAGTTTGCTTCCAGATGTTGTGAGCCAACATGGGGCTCTGCCACGTGTGGTTTATGTGGGTGCTTTCTGCAGTGGCGTGTATCACATTGTAATAAGTCAGTTCACTCGTCCTGAAGAGCATTCTATGTTGAAGTATCAGCAACATGACTGTTTACACTGGGGAATCGGCATTGTTTGCCACCGGAGGGCTCAGCTGCCTCAGAGCAGCTGAAGTGCCTTCGCGAGGCTTCTTGGGGAAGAGGCGGCCAGGCAACCAGACCTCTTCTCCGTGTGGTCAGCCACCTTACGGCGAGCTGTGGGCGCAGCTGCTCTAAGGCTGAGTTGCTCGTGTTTGAACTGTGTGCTGCTCCTTAACCATCCGTGTTGCCCTCCATTTCTGTGCAGATTGCAGCCCCCCTCCTGAAGAGTCCAGCCCAGGTACGTGGTTTCTGTTCAAGCCTCTGCCGATGGCTTTTTAATATTCAGGTAGCATTTGTGCTAAGTTATCAAACGTTACCTTATGCTCCTGGAATTGGGAAAATATTTTAGGACCTCCTTCATTGTGAGGAATGTAAGACTTTTCGTAGGTTTGGTGCGGGACCAGTCAGGCTGAGGGAATTGTGGCATGAAGCAGGCTGCCACATGTATTTTTTTACTTTTACATTCTAAAACCTTTTCAAATGATTAATGTTCCTCGGTGCATTGGGCTTCATGAAGTGGGTGACCCGATTTAGAGAGTTACGCATTCGGAAATACTTCCTGCATATTCACCTGAACTTGTGAGCGTTACCCTGAGGACACAGTCAGATAATATGTCTCCACCCAAGTGCCGTGACATTCATCATCATGCAGCATCCTCTCGTCTGAGTCTGGGTGCAGCTTTCAAATTCTTACCAGATGTCGCTAGGGGCTTCAGTTGGAGTTAGTGCTAGAAATGTGATCTTTTGGCTGCATTTGCATGTAGAAACCATGTGTACAGTTCTAGTTCAGGGGTTGGCAAGCTATACCTCTGAGCTAAATCCTGTCCAAAGGATTACAGCCTGCTCTTGTAAAAAACATTTTATTGGAAACCAGCTGTGTCCAACTGTCCATGTATCATCTATGGCTGCTACAAAGAAAGTGTGCCAACCCCTGATCTAGTTCATGTTGAGTCTCCTGGATATGGCTTGTGGTTTTCCCACAGTGAGCATGAGCCCTCCCCAAATAATATGGTTTGATTTCTTTGTTTTCTTATATTTCAAAAATGAGCTACATGATCTGATGCTTGTGTATTTCTGACTGGATATAAATGTAAGATAGCAGGACTCCTGCTTCATATCTAGAGTGCAGCAGATTGATGCTTGTGGGATTGACAAAGCTGTTCCTGTCAGTCGTTAGTGAAGCCTGTCCACTCACGCAGCACCATGAAGCAGCTCGCGTGGCCACTCCTGCCAGCAATCCCAGAACCCTATTCGAAGTTAGTTCATGGGCAGGCTGATCTGATTGGGTGCATCTTACTCTCCCAGTTTGCTTTTAGTCCCTTCACAGTTTCTCTTTTTCAAAAAGTCAGTGTAGCCTTGAGCAGGTCTTGGGCATCGACCCCCTCGACCCTCAAGGTCACTGAGGCCTTGGTAGATGCACAGACAGTTAATCTTAGTTTCCTCCTCCTCATTGCCTCTCCTGGGCTCATGCCTGATTCTCCTCCTTCATATCTGTCTCTGGGCTTCCAGTCCTCCTCAGCTGACCTCCACAGCAGGCTAGTGCTTTGGACCAAGCCGACTGTCCTCTGAGCCTCAGTGGTGGTGAAGTCTGGGACCTTGCCCAGCAGCCAGGGCCAGGAAAGGGCTGGTGGTGTGTGCATCTGCCCCACAGAAGCCCAGGGGTTCTTCTCAGCTCTGGACTTCCTGAAGATTCTAGAAATAATTGAAAGTCTCATGGGTTCTCAGGCAGCACACGGACAGTGCCTGGTTTGTAGAACCCTCCTTGTTTTATACCAGCTGTGCCATTTTCAGAAGCACTGGTGGCTTTTCCACAGTTGATATTAAGTGGTCCCCTGCCAGGAGTTCCTTTTGCTTTTCCAAAAGCTATATTTCATCTGGGTTAAAACACACACACTTACAAACACACATACATACTCTCTCCCTTTCTCCCCCCCTTACTAATGAGAAAAAAAAGACAGAAGCAGAATGTGGATTTGAAAGAGCCTTTTGGAGTTATCTAAAGTAGTATGGTCCATGGATTGACTACCAGGCAGTGAATGTTACAAGTTAGTAACTAGATAAAGAGCTTGTCCCAAAAAGTGGATCAGCAACATCATTCAGGACATTGTTGAGTTGAGCTGATTTTTTTCATCGAAAGACTTTGTCAGTGAAGGAAGCAGAGGGGAAACGCTTCACCAGCTCCAGCGTCCCAGACACCTATAGTTGTCTAGGTCCTGGGTAGAAATCATGTTACTGCTCATGAAATTCATTTTGTTTGAACTTCTTTACTATTGATTTCTCCTCACATTGAAAAAACATATTACCCACCAAGCCCTACTCTCTCTGCGGCAGAAGCAGTCTGACATGATAGAAATAACACGGAGCTTAGAGTCAGCCAGACCTGTGCACAGATGCCAGAGCTTTCTGTGTGTCTGGGGAAAGCAACCTCTCTAAGTCTGTTTCCTTGCTTGTATTAATAAACCTCTCTCTGGGAATTAAATGAGAAAACAGTTACAAAGTGAGGTACTAACAAGTGTTGCATAAATGGTGGTTGATGCTCTTATTGAACCATCCAGACAAGTCCGAGCCCTTCCCCAGCAGACGTCACATTCACCCCACCCAGGTCCATGTCTCCTTTTGTCTAGGACAAACTTCTGAATGCTTTTTAACCATTCTTTCTATACCTCAATGTTTTTCTTTTTTTTTTTCCTAATGTAGCAAAATGGAGTCATTCCTTTATGAATTTAGTGTGAAGAGAAATAGGCAAAGTGAAAAAGTTGTATGGAGAGAGCTCACTTAGTGAAATAAGACCACTTGTATATTCTGAACATTTTCGGAGTAAAGTGATGATTTGCATACTAATTATATATGCATGTGCTTGATGAGTAGAAAAGCAAAGTAAAATTGGCAACATTTGCTCTAAAAGCATTTACTTCTTAGTGAAGAATAGTCTTAGTGGCTGCCTGCCTTTCCCCAAACTATTTGGCTAGAAAAACCTAGTCACCATTGGCCTTTTTTGATAGGCACTAAATGTAATTGACATGCATTCAACAGAGTTTTTCAAAGAAATAAAAATATGGTCTCTGAGAATCTGAGAGGAAGAGACTTGGACATTATCTAGTGCTGCTCTCATGTTTTACCAAAAAGGACCCATGTGGCTGAGGGGTTGGGGGACTTTCCTATGGTCCAACACTTCTCAGTGGTGGCCGGAGTGTGGGACTCACATTTTCCACTTCTCAGTCCAGAGTTCTTTGTCACCATGATTTATTTGCTAAGACCTTTCTGCTATGGACTTTCTAAATTTAAGCCTGCTTTTTTCCATTACAGATATAAATCCTTGTCCACATACTATATGCCTGCATATACAGTTAGATCATTTCCAACTTTTAAATATCTACATGTACTTAAAAATCCTCATTAACCAAATACTGAGCATAGGGAAGTTCTTTTGCATGATTCAGGTGTTTCTGTAGGTTTGTTTCTTAACATAGTGCTAACCATACAGTTTGAGAGAGCAGAGCCAAGCCTCCCTTCTCTCAGTCTTTTAGATTCTGTTTATCTAAGACAGGTTACCCTCTGGTAGCTGCATGGCTCCCGCAGCTCTGTGGCCTTCCCTAAGTGTGGTGACATGTTCTGGGGCATTCCGTGGCTCAAACCCTCGCCCTCAGGGGTGTGCGCTGCCCAGGCTTCACTCCACAGCTTCTCACCATATTTGGAGTGGTGGGTTCACCAAGGGGTGATGATCAAATGCCTATTTCTAGGCTTAGTGACTTGTTAAAAATAAAAAACTGATGAGGGCATGTCTTTTCTTTTAAACGTCTTCTAACTGCAAAGGCAAAAAGAGCCAAAACCAAAGATATCTTTCACCCTGTTTTTCTCCCTTGAGTTTCTATTTTTAAAAAGTTGTTTTGGGTCAGAGTTGCCTTGTATTCCTGAAAGAAAAGTAAGCTAGAAATAAATGACACCAGGCAAGGAAGGTGGGGGCAGGGTAGAAAATGAGTGAAAATTCAGGAATTGCATGGAATGCCTTTTCCTTCAGATGTGGCAAGTGAGGGTTTAACACAGTTGTACACAGGCTGGACAAGGGCAGAGTTGCTCCTTTGCACCAGAAGAACAGGGGTCTCTGCCTTCGTACCTGGGTCAAGAGAAGTGAGGTAACAGAACTTTCCTGGTGTCCTTCCTTCCTGGGTGGAGGAACCACAGTGCTGTGGAAGGAGATTGGCCTCTGCAGACAGAATATTTTCTGGCCTCATTGTGACTTGAAGAAGCTTTTTTGTTGTTTTCCCTAAAAGGCATAGTCTCGAGTACTTATGTGTAGGGTCCTCAATAGGTTCGGGAGGTTAGGCATGTGTCTGTGGGACTGAAGTAGACCTGACGTTTGAGGTTATTGGAAAGACTCAGGGCTGGAGGGTTAGAGACTGGGCTGGCTCCAGGCAGAGTGTGGGCCAAGCAGAGCTAGAAGATATGGAAGGGGTGGGGAGTGGAGAGGGGGAATGGGGAGGACACGGTGGTGCCTAGGGGTTGGGTGACTTGCTAAATTGCCAGAACCTAATTCTTAGGTCTTCCTTCCTAAACGTCATGACCCCTCCACTGTGCACAGGGGAGTGGAGTGAGGCCCTGTACCCGCTGCTCACCACCCTCACGGACTGTGTGGCCATGATGAGTGACAAGGCCAAGAAGGCAATGGTCTTCCTGCTCATGCAGGACAGCGCGCCCACCATAGCCACCTACCTGAGCCTGCAGCACCGCCGCGATGTGGTCTTCTGCCAGACGGTAAGCCCCAGGAGCGCCACAAGAGGCCACGGGGACCTCCACCTCAGAAGGTTCAGGATGCCCCTTTACCTCCCTGATCACTTGTAAAAAACCACAGGTGGCCATATTTCCTCCTGGCTGTTGTTTCTAAGTTTATTTACTAGAGGTCTGCATTTCAGCACAGGGAGGAAACCTACTCGATCAGTATGCATTTGTCTCCCTGAAGAACTGGCACCTACAGAATCTGCTGGTTCTGCCCCCTGCACCAAAATTGCAGATGGCGCAGGCCTCATTGCCACCTTTTTCTCCCTGCAAAGGAGTTCAGTGAGGGCAACATGGATGCTTGCTGTCGGTGCAGTCTTTTTTCTCTTAAATAAAATGGTAGGTACCTTAGTTCTATGGCTTCTTGCAGAACTCTGTTTTAATGATTTTTGATATCTTTCAGAGAAATGAATAGTTGAAATGTATGTAACAAGTTAAACAGATGCCAGCAAACAAATTAATAAAGTGAACAGTGACTTAGGGTCAGGCTGGTTCTCTGCAGTTCCCCAACCCATCCCGGGAGGCCCGTTTCATCCCACAGAAAATATCCCACTGAGGAAACTTTGAGTGACCATGTTCTTGTCCACTTCTGTTTTTTGTTGTGATTAACTCAGTTTCCAGCCAGAGATGGTATGGATTTGTGAGTAGATAGACCCTTTCACTGTGGGGAATTAATTCTGGTCTTCTAGAAGGTTCCAGCCCAGGAATAACCCTAGGCAGGTGAGGTCCAAAGCTGGACCAAAATCAAATCTAACTTTGGGAGCAACAGGAGCAGCAAGCCCAAGGTGTTAGGCATCCTCCCTGTGGCCTCTGCCCTCCACAGTCCCAGAGCCAGGGCACTCCCCACTCCCCAGGGTTACCGCTGGACAGGAGGTACCACTGCAGCCCCTTTGAGCAGTGGAAGCAGAGGAACTTGGGGCAGGGGAGGGGCATGAGCCCACTGCTATTTGGTGAGCAGGTATCTGACCCCCAAACCACTTCACCCTGTGTCCCTCCAGCTGACTGCTCTCATCTGTGGCTTCATCATCAAGCTGAGGAACTGCCTGCACGACGACGGCTTCCTGCGGCAGCTCTACACCATCGGGCTACTGGCCCAGTTTGAGAGCCTGCTGAGCACCTATGGTGAGACCCGTGGGCCCTACTCACACCTGGCACCTCTGGGGGCTGCATCAGGAGCCACAGTTACCTGTGCGAATTCCATCTCTTCTTCCTAGATATTTTTCTGATTATGCAAGTATAGTGCGTGCCGATTATTAATAAAATAAATCCAAACATCACCAAAACACATAACAAAGAACCAAATGACAGTTACACATACATACCTGGTTTGGTTTGGTGTTTGTTAGGTATGTATCTTTTTTAAAAAAATTATTATGGATGCATTATAGTTGTTGTTTGTTATGTATCTTGAGGCTCTTTCTAGTTAAGGATGGATGACAATTATTTAACCAGTAACTTCCTGTAGGACATGTGGGTTGTTTCTGACTTCTTCCTATTAAGCCAGTGCTGCAGTGGCGTTGGGCATGTAAGGCACTGTGCTCCTCTGCAGCTACTGAATGACTAGACGGAGAGTTTGCTGGGTCAAAGGGTAGGAATATTCTAAAACTTAATAGATATTTTCAAATTGCTCTCCAAAAAGGCTCTCTTCTTCTTACCCTTGTTTTTTGTTTATTTCTTCTGAGAAGGTGAAAATGGACCATTTTTTAAAGTATTTAATCTTTGGAGTTCTAGGACATCAAATAGACATCAAGCCCTGTGTAAGGGAGGATCTGGCCTTGGCAACACTGTTGTACTTTCTCTCTCCATTTTTAAAGAGCTGGCTTTGCCTTCTGAGTTCCACGCATTTCTGTTTCCCCCCTTCACGGCCCTGTGCTTGCCCAGAAAAGGGTGAGGAAGGATGGTGCATCTCCACCAGCTGCATTTTTTAATGTGGCCATGGGATTTCAGTAGCAGTCCTCTCAGAGAAGTGAGTCACAGGGAAAAAGGCTCAGAGACCCCTACCCGGTCCACACCTGCACTCTCTCCTGTCACAGCCGGGCCTGAGCTCATTGCCTTCGTCTGCACCTGCCACGTCCACAGAGAGAGTGGCAGGGCCCTCTGCTGACAGCCCCTTCCCTCCCTTGCATCCAGGTGAGGAGTTGGCGATGCTGGAGGATATGAGCCTTGGAATCATGGACCTGAGGAACGTGACCTTCAAAGTCACTCAGGCTGCTTCTAACGCCTCAGCGGACATGCTGCCTGTCATCACAGGAAATCGGTAGAAATGTTGGTTTAAATTTCTCTGGGCTAGAGTGGTGTTTTTCATTTATGTTTATCTCATGGGATGCACTCTTCCTTTACAAATTTTTATTCTATTTAATTTTGTTAAAAATGCTGGTTATAGCCTCCTACGTTAGTATCACTCCTTAAAGATCTGGCTGACGGTTTGGCCATCACTGAGCCAGGGTGCCGGTCTGGACTCTGGCACTGAGGCGCGCTCAGGCCCCTCCTGGCCCCAAGGTCACAGCCTCATCCCTGCTTTCCCTCTCTCCACCTCTCTCCAGTGATGGGTTTAACGTGCGGGTCCCTCTGCCAGGCCCGCTATTCGACGCCCTGCCCCGGGAGATCCAGAGTGGCATGCTGCTGCGGGTGCAGCCCGTCCTCTTCAACGTGGGCATCAATGAGCAGCAGACGCTGGCCGAGAGGTGCGTGCCAGCCCCTCGGGGACTGCAGTGGCTGGGGCAGCCATGGAGATGATGTAGAAAGTGCGCTTACCTAACTCGTTGAGTTCCAAGTGCTGTATGGACTTTGTCGTCCATCCTTCCTTTGGCCAACATTCTTTCACCCCATGGCTGTGTACCCAGCATTGTTTTTGGTGCTGGGAACACAAAGATCACCCAGATGGAATCTCTGTCCTCAAAGACTTGGCTGGTGGGAGAGAGCGATGCGGATGATGGAGATAAATAAACACAGGGATTATGGGCCCCCAAGTAGGGGTACCCAGTGGGGTCTAAGGGCACTGTGAAGGCTTCCTAAGTGGGGGAGGATGGCTGAAATGAGTTTTGAAGTATGAGTAAGGATTAGCAAGAAGGTAGAAGAGAGACTGGGCATCTCAGGCCAAGAAGAGTGAGCAAAGGCCTGAGTTCAAAAGGCCTGTAGCAGGAATATGGCATGTCATGCTAGAGGCCTAATTTCCTTAACATCAAGTACTTTAAGATATCTTTTGATACTAAAATACATGGATCATACTAAGTTACATGTGTCATGTAAATGACAACACAGGAGAGACTTTCATTTCATTTTGGAGAGAGAAACAGTACAGGGGCCGGGGCCACCAGGTTCCAGGCAGGGATCCACAGTGCTGAGGGCAGAGAGGCCTTGTGTGCCAGGCTGAGTCCTGCCTTGACCCTAAAGGCTCACGCCTGGTGAACACTCGCCAGGATCACTTGCCATGGAGCGGAGTCATGTGTACCTGTGTGTGCACACATGTGTGTCGGGGAGAGAGGCTGAATTGGGTGTGTGTGGCCTATAATGGCTTTCCACTAGTAAATGAAAGTCTCTCCTGTGTTGTCATTTACATGACACGTGTAACTTAGTATGATACGTGTATTTTAGGATCAAAAGATACCTTAAAGTACTTGCTGTTAAGGAAATTTGGCCTCCAGAATGATATGCCATATTCCTGCTGGGCCTTTTGAACCCAATGAGTGGCCAGTGTCCACTGAAACCTAGGTGTAGGGTCACCCCCACCTAGGAAATATGTTGTGATTTCTGGGAGACATTGAAGAACATTCAGTAGGGTAGAACACAATCAGTTTACATTTTAAGTAGATCATTTTGCTGGCGAGTGCCAGGAGGAGGTGAGGGGGCATAGGAGGAGAGGAGTGTATGAGGAGGTTGCTGGAAAGAGTCCAGGCCACAGGCAGTCAGTCACCCAGGCCAGGGCAGGGAGTATGGTGCATATTGTGAGAAGGGACAGACTGGAGAACTGTGGAAGTGGTAAATGGAAGGCCGTGGTCTTCCAGTGGGGCTGAATGGGAGAGAGGAGAGTAGACCAGACACACCCAGCCCGCTAGATCCAGGGAGTGAGGTGAGTGGTGTCAGCCACTGAGCTCATGAACCAGGAGAGCGGTCGTGTTCAGGGTCAGATGGTGAGCTGAGCTTGGGCTGAGGGCGCCAGCCCAGGAAGCAGAGCCCAAAGGTCTGAGCAGAGCTGAGGAGCCCATGTCAGGGAGGGTGGCAGCCTCACAGGAAGCCCAGCAAGGAGGCATTCCAGGGGAGAGAGAATGTCATTCCCTGTATCCAGCAGCTGTTGATCCCAGCGGCTCTGCAAGAGCAGTTTCTAGAGAGGGTTGAGGCAGGGCCAGATGCAGGGAACAGAGGAGCAGGAAGGAGGATATGCCACTGAGGGTGGGAGGGACTGGAAGAGTGCAGGCTTGGCTTTGTTTCTTCGTTTGTTCCCAGGATACTGGCAAGCTGGGCTTGCTATGAATGGAGGGGAGGGCCCCAGTTCATTTTTTTGTTTTTTTTTTTGTTTGTTTTAATAATTTTTAAAAGTCAAGAAAGGTAACAGCACCACTCTATTTCTCCCCACACAACTTAAACAAGGAAGGTTCAGACACACCTGACACACTGGACTGAAAAAGACAGAGACTGCTGTTCAGCTGTGCCTCTGTCTCTGAACAGCAGAATATGTTATCTGACAAGCACAGGCCATTACAATGGAAGTTTATGGATTTACAATCTCAGATTTATTTATTTTGAACCTGATGGGTGGAGGAAAGGAAAGAAGGGCAAACTCACAATTGTCTACACCATTACAAAAATAAAATCCACTATAGTGGTGGTTCTGGAAATATAAGGCTTTACTTATTAATAAGCATATCAAAGAAATCAAATGATCTTACCTTCAGAGACATCTAGAAAGATTAGCTAAACATGAGTGAAATTAAAAAAATATTAACTGGCCATGGGGAGGGGAGGCCATGGTCCTGGGGTCAGGGATGGTCCCCAAGGGAGCAGACACCTAGAGGAAATGCCATCATGGGCACCAAGGGTGGAGGAACTGTGTCCCACAGGAGGAGGTCCTGCCCTCTGAGAGGAATTGCAGGGCTCTAAAAAGGCTGATACTCAGAAAGTCACTCAGCAGGGAACTGCTGGGGCTGCCCTGGGAACCCAGCACTTAGACCTCAGCACCTGCATTTTTAATGACCACCTTGTGCCTGCCTTGTAGGTTGCGTTTCATGACCTTTTCCCTTAGGCATTTGGCACATGCTCACTTGTAGCATGTGGTGGGAGGGGGGGTGTAGACAGAATGAACCCACATGATGGGAAGAGTGAGGAGGACCTCTAGTCAGTGCTAGAGGGACAGTCCATCAGATTGGAGTACAGCACTGTGCGCTCACTCCCCAGCCATACCCACTGCCATCCCCTCTGCTGAGTCCCCCTGAGATAGGAGGACATAGGGACTGTGAGCTGAATGGCCGTGAGTAGGGGTTCCTGTGCCACACAGGACAAGACCCTTCAGTCTCTGGGTCTGGTGTGGCTCATGTTCTGATAATCTTTTAGGAATGTCTCTGACAGATCATACATGGTTCCTGCCAACAGAATGTATTTGAACTTCACCAACACTGTAGAGATGACTATGCTCAGGAGGAGGAAAGTGGTTTAGAATTTAGATGTGCACAATTACTGTTTGAGAGAATCAGCATTGTTAGCTTTCATGCAACTGTGTTCATATTAGAAGGTGACATTAGCCGACTAATGGCGTCCCCTTGTAACTTCCCAAGGTTTGGCGATACCTCTTTACAAGAAGTCATCAACGTGGAGAGTTTGGTGCGGTTAAATTCCTACTTTGAGCAGTTTAAGGAAGTTTTGCCTGAGGATTGTGAGTAATTCTTCACTTGGCGGTGGGTTTTCCCTGCTGGTCTTTTCCTCACTGAGTGGCCGAGCTCAGGCTGTCTGCTTCCTTATGTCGCCTGGCTTGTCCCGCTTCCTTGTGTCCGTGCGTGCCTGCCCAAGCGCCTGTGTGTATACGACTCTGCACTGTTCCTTTCCTCCTTCCTACCCCAGTGGGTGCGCGCACGCACGCACACACACACGTACACACACCCCCTCCCCCCATTCATCTCTTCAGACTGCCTGGCTTGAATTCCCACCCAGAGAACCTTCCCTGGGCTGCAGCCCTCACTCATCTCTGCTGTTGATTCTCTTCTAACCTACGTGACGTGGGTTTTCCCACACACTGTCGTAGTCATTGACGTTGATGGATGCATGCAGTGGTGTGCATCGTGCACCTGCTGGTAGGACATGAGGGATCACAGAGGCAGGAGCCATATTTGGCCAGGTGCGTTGCCCATGCACCTGCCTCCATGGTGCTTAGGAGTAAGATGCTGGGTAGACATTGTTGGGTGTTTAGTGGCAAAATGCCCCATCACAGCCTCCCCTGGAGGTGGTAGAGAGGTGACAGTAGTCTTCCCACTGCTGACATGTAGCTCTGTGTCCCTCAGTGAGGATGCTGCAGCAAGGACTCTGGAAGTTGCAGAACTCCCGGAAGAACACAGGGGATGCACGGCACTATCTTTACATGTGGAATTCTCTCCCAAATTCCACCCAGTGAACATTCCCTGAGCACCTGCTATGTGTAAAGCACTATAGGACCCAATGGCAAATGAGACCCTGCCTTGGAGGAAAAGCCACCCAAGAGCATCCCACCTCTCTGTGCAGGTGCTGCTGCAGTCACTAAGGGTGCCACGTGGCTCAAGGAGACACATCCCAAATTCCACCCAGTGAACATTCTCTGAGCACCTGCCATGTGTAAAGCACTATAGGACCCAATGGCAAATGAGACCCTGCCTTGGAGGAAAAGCCACCCAAGAGCATCCCACCTCTCTGTGTAGGTGCTGCTGCAGTCACTAAGGGTGCCACGTGGCTTAAGGAGACACATCCCCACCTTGAGTTACACTAGCATCCTCTAATAGGGGTCTCCAAAGAGGGAAGACAACATCCACATCAGCTGGGAAGATGCGGCAGCTTCATTTGCTTTCTGTTGGGAAGCCTGGTAGATCTCAGAGTTCAGGAATAGTAGTAGAACAGTACTGCTGGTGGACCTCGTTACAGGCCACTGTTAATGCCAGGCGCCAGGCTAAGCGCTCACACACGTTTCCTCACAGAATCCCACAGCAGCCCTGGGAGGTCGGTGCTCATGTCTGTGTCTAGGTGAGGAAAGGTGCTGCCTGGCTCTGAAGCCATCCTGTTAGGAGAGACCGCTGCAGAGGACCTCCAGGCCCAGGCCAGGAGTCTGTATTACTTTAGTGGTGTTTGGTAGGGAAGCAATGCGAAAAAGCTGCCTTTTCACAGATTCATCGAGCAAGAAAGTGCTATTGGATGGGAGGAGAGGACACAAGCCACTGGTAGATGGATGACACATTGTTTCACTCTCTGACTCCAACCTGGGGCAACAGTGGGCTTGGAAAGAAGGGGCAAGGCATTAAGGAGGGCTCGGGCTGAGGACCAGCTCATTAGCGGCCATCTGACGCTGATGTCGGGGAAGTGCTGGGCTGGGACGCTGGAGCTGGTGGCAGCAGCAGTGGTGGGTGGGCCGACAGGAGAGGAGCAAGCACAGCACGGCCCCCTGCTGAGCTTGTGACGTGGGCAGACGGCCCATGGGCAATGTGGATGTGGAGCCACAGGGTGGGGCCCTTCGTGGCTGAGGGCACTGAGGGGCAGGATGAGAAGGGGGCTGAGGACGGTATCCGAGGCTGGGTAGGAAGAAGGGATTCAATAGATGGGCCAGAGAGGGTATTTGCTGGCAAGTGGGAAGTAGGTGGCCAAGGAGGCAGGAGCCAGAGGCATGGGGCACTATGGTCTCTGGGTTTGTGGACAAGGACCCCCTGGTGAGCTCAGGGGACAGTCTCAGTGTGGTGAGGGGTGGGCCGGGGGAGCAAGTGGTGACAAAATGGCGCTGCCTTGGAATGGACCCCTCTGTCCCAAAGATGGGCAGCAACGTGATGGTTGGGGCTATGGGAGGCTGGACACAGCGCTGGAGCTCCAGGGGTGACGGTGGTGTGCTTAAAGGCCCAAGGGAAGGAGCCAGAGAAAACAGGCTAGAAGGTACAAGAGGGTGACAGAGCTACAGACCAGGTCCTAGAGAGCCCAGGGCGGACGGTGCCATGTCAGGGAGGAAGGAGAAGGGGTAGGGACGTGACCGGAGTAATACAGGAGCTCAGGTGCGTGGTTCCTCAGGGGAACAAGGGTTCTTTTTACTGAACATGTAAGAGGTGAGCACAGAACAGGGGCCTGGAGGAGTGAGGGAGACTTGGTGTGGGTGCAGCTGGAGCCCTGGAGGCCGTGGCTTAGCCCTGGCTACAAGAGAGTTCCCCAGAGAGCCAGAGACAGTACTGATGCCTGGGCCCCACCCTAGAGTATGGCGGGCAGGGCCTGGGCACCAGGGTCTCAGAAACTTCCCAGTGACCCCCATGTGCCTCAGCCAGGTGGAGCTCATGATGTGAAGAGGCTCTTCCAAGGCCTCAGCTGTAGGTTGGCTGCGCGGGTGCGAGGAGCCCTGTCTTGAGGCATCCTCACCTTCTGCAACAACGATCGCAGTGAGCGACACATCTGTCGAGGCCTTGGTGTCAGCCAGGCCCTCTGCTACCCACTTTACGTGGATTATCTAACCTGCCCCCATAGCTGCCGGAGAGGTGGTGCTGGTTTCACACCCCCTTGGCAGAGAGGAGGCACGGAGGGCATCTCCCCAGCAGCCCAGTCAAACCCAGACAGTGTTTTCTGACTCCTGGGGGCACCAGGGAGCCACGGTGGTGGGGATGGTGGGGATGGTGGGGTGCACTGAGGATGGAAGGAGTGCTAGCAGTGAGTGGCAATGTCAGCAAGGCAATGTTTGCACTCAGCATCGTGGAGGGCGGGCAGTTTCCAGTGCTGTGGAGGACCTGGGAGATGTTAGACTAATGACGAAGGCTGAGGAAGGGTGAGGCCTGTGGGAGCAGAAGCAGCCCAGGCTGGACCTCCCAGGTGGAGCCAGCAGACTGGACCGTGACCCAGGGAGCTGGGCATCCATGGCCTATGTAGCCGTCAGCCCCAGGAGAACTGCTGGTCTGTGAGGCTGAGAAGATGGAGCCCACCCAGCAGAATCCCCCCACGTCTGCCCGGTTCATCAATGCGCAGGTATTCACTAAACTGGGCTGCCGGAGGCAGCTAGGAAGAAGCCACGGTTGATCTCGGGAGGTGAGATCATGCCGTCTCCTCTGGAGGGTGAGTGCCCCAACCCGCCTGGAGCCTCCTCCTCTGGACTGAGCCCCTCACAGGCAGGGGCCTTCTTTCTATTTCTTTGTATCTGGTGCCGTCCCCTGGACAGCGCACTACCAGGAGCATGAGATGATTAGCACAGGGTCCTGTGTGCATCAGGAACAGGGTGTATGGTGGGCACTATGTGTAGTTAGATTCCAGATGGTTTTATTTGGGGATTCAGACACTGTGGCTATTTTCCCTAGCCATGACCTTGATGTCTTTGTTAATCCCAGTGTTTGAAAATCTCAGAGTGCCTTCAGGAATGGTTGATTTTCCTAGATTTTGTCCCGGGTTTCCTAGGTGAGACAATCTGATGGATGTTCAGGCTCAAGATGTTCTGGAAGGGCATGGAGACTGCCGGAGTGGAGGAGGAGTGCTGTCAGAGCAAGGAGAGGCCTCCCTGGGTCCGCCAGAAATGCATTTCTCCAGTTGTAGGCTGAGGTCCCCCTGGAGGAGGCTACATGTTCCAGATCCCCCAAGGTTTCCAGGCCCATTCGATGGCCAAGACCTGCTGCCTCAAGCATGTTTCACCCTGGCGGAAGTTTTGGAGACCAGATGGGTCTCCCTTCCTCCTAACACCCTCCCTTTGGGAGTGCAGCAGGGAGCACGGGTGTTTACAGGAAGTTTGTTAGGTATTTTGGTGTCCATTCCCTGGCCCCTCAGAAGAGCTGAGAGGAGATAAAGTAACTTCCCTTCAAAGGTGGCACTAAAATGGCAGTGAAATTGAGTGTTCTCCATACTGATAGCCACGTCCAGTCCCCAGACACCCTCCTCCCTTCTTGCTTTGGCTGCATAGTCAAGATGTTAGTATTTCCGTGCCACAGCAGCTTACCTGGGTGGCCTCCTACTGTCGGGGGCGAGTTCCTGGGTGCGGCACCTATTCCCACAGACTCCTTTTCTCTTCCAGGCCTACCTCGGTCGCGGAGTCAGACGTGCCTGCCAGAGCTGCTGCGGTTTCTGGGTCAGAACGTGCACGCCCGAAAGAATAAGAACGTCGACATCCTCTGGCAAGCCGCCGAGGTACTCTTTACAGTGAGGAAAAGGCAGTTACTGCTGCGCCCACTACCAAAACTCATGACAATAATGTTAACAAATCACAACCTCGGTGGGGATTGGAGAAAGCACATGTCTCCATGTGGGCTCAAAGAAAGTCGCCGAATATGTTCTAAAACTTGGAAGATGCCGAACCTTGCCTGTGGGTTCATTCCTTTGGAGCTGCCTGAATTCTGATAAGCTTGACACGGTCTGTCCTATGGGGCACTTAACAGCCAAGCTGATGACAGTTGTCACCTTCAGAAGCCTGCATGGTAGCAGCTAAAACCTTCTGCCTCCTGCCTCTCTTATTAGGTTCAGAGGGAGACTGTGGTGACCTTTCATATCTCTTTAAACAGTCATTATCGTACATTGTGGTTTTGATCTCCTAGTTTTCCCAAGTCCTTACCCTCAAATATTTTTCATAAATTTACTCGTGGAAATTTTTCAGTCTGAGCCTGGGAATCAGAGCAAGTTCATGGCTAGTCGTTCTCTCACCCCTGATGGGAGGTTGAGGTTACCTCTTCTGTGCAGCAGAGTAACCTGCCCAGCACTGGGACTCAGGCACGAGTGGCCCCAAGTGGCATTCTGGCTCCCCGCCTGAGCAAAGGGAAGAGGGGCACAGGAGCGAGGTGGCACCGCACTGCCCATCAGGCCTGGGCCACCCCCCTACATCACACAGCCCAAGCAGCACTCAGGGGCATCCCCCGCAGCTGTCCCAAAGCATGACTGTCCTTGTCAGGAGAGTGTTTCTCTGAGTCTCTTCCACAGTAGCAGGGGTCTCAGCTGGTCACGGTGCTTGACAGCCTTTTCGAGTAATTTATTAGATCCCATATTCAAGAGGCTGCCTCGTGAAGTTCGTCTTTTGGAACGTGCTGCCCATTGTGGGTGTGGGAACGGTCATGGCTGCTGATCGTGTTCTGTTGACTTAAGCTTTAAAGAGTGAACATTCCCTTCTGTGTGCTAATCTATTCATTTACCCTGTCAAGTACCCCCACTGGAAAGACTGTCAGAAAACATGGAATGGGTCAGTCTGCCGATCTCCCCTCTCTGGGCCAGGCTGCCCTGTGAGTCTTTTAATTGCAACAGAACATATTTGGAAGCATCAAGTGACAGAAAGCGCAGCAGGTTTCACAGGCCTCATTTTTCGAGTATTCTCTTGGTTTTGGGGCCTCATCTGGCATGGCTCGCTCAGGCCAGGCCCAGCACATGTGGCGCAGGATGGGGCACATGCCTGCCATGGGGCTCCTCTACTTCCTTTTATTTTGTTTTCTCATAGGGCTGCTAGACATCCCTGACCAGACTGTTACAGTCTCTTACGTAAGTACCTTTGAGAGACTTTAGACAAAGAGCAAGCCTTTCCCACATGCCACAGAGAGTCCAGAGGGTGGCACAGCTACATCTCTGAACAGTGACAGGGGACATGCAGTCACTCATTCATTCTCCTTAGAGTAAACACACAGACAGCTTTACAGACAAGAGTGGATGCGCAGATCTTGGGCATACCTTGTTTGGGAACTGTGGTTCTGTTTCTCTATTGCCATATGATAGAAAATCAATAAATATGGGGACAATGGACCATCCCCTGTCACCAGAACAAAAAAGCAGTCCATCCAGTCCTATATTTTTTGTTCCCAGCAGAGGCCCCAAGGTATAGAAGCCTAGAATCAGAGGGAAGGCCCTCAGCGACCCTCGGACATGTCAGTTCTCATGTCAGGCCCACCAAACTCTGGGCATCCCCAGAGGGACATCGGGGTGGGACAGGTGAGTGTAGGGTCAGCAGTGCCACAGCACTCAGGTACTGAGTCCTCTCATCCCTGATTTGACCAGAGCTGCTGTCGTTTTCTGGGTCTCATTTCTTGTCATTTCTGTGTGTGAACAAAGGGTCCCTGGCTAAACAGCTGAGCTGTCTTTAGTCAGGTCTCAACCCTCATTTCATGGAGGGGGAGACCCAGCTGGCACACCAGAGGTGGCTGGTGCCCCTCTAGGATGGGAATCTGGCACTGCAGCTGCCCTTTTGGACAAGGACCCACCTCTGGCCACCCCGCCTTCCTCCCAGAACCTCACATTAGCTCTAGATGCGCCGTCTATGAAGTTAAATGTTCTTTTGAAATCGATTTGTAGTTCTAGTTTCTGCCACGTGTTTGGGTCATGAACTCTACAGCCTGTAGAAATTAGTGAGCATACACCAAGTTCACGCTTGCTTTGTCAGTTATGATTTTACAAATTTGATTAAATCACTCTTTACTGCTTAGGGTCTTTGTTTTGTTGTTTTGTTGTTGTTGTTGTTTGTTTGTTTCTCTTTTTGTCCGTTCCCAAGAGAAACTTATCCTCCTCCTGCTTGTCCTGATAGAACTGTGGGCCTTTCCTATTTTGTCTTCTCCTGGACGTGATTCATAGGACTGCGCCCTATTCCCAATAGTGACCAGCATGTTCTTGGCTTTGCTGGCCTGAGAAGCAGGTGTAGTCCCATCTTCAGGGCAGTCAACACAACTAATGTTTTTCTGGAGTACAACAGATGACTGGGAGCCTACCGTGGTATAGCTTAGATGGTTTTTCATAAAATTCTAGTGTTGCTCCCACAGGGTGGTATCTGATAAGTTCCTCAATCCCATGTCTGAAGATCTTGTGGCCAGATGTTTTGGAATTCACAGGTTTTCAGATTTTAGAAAAGTAATATGGCACACAGTTGGCATTTTTTGTATAGTAGGGCACACATTACATGTGTGTACTGTCATATACATACGTGATTTAATACCCCCAGAGGAGCCTGGCGTAGTACTCTGGAATCAAACTCATAATATTTCTTCACTGAAAAGTATGGATGTTTACATAAAATTGGATAAATAAAGATTATAAATAGTCTCACATCAGCTCATATGTGGTTTTACTGCCAAATGAGGCTGCTACAAACTTAGAAAAATTATTTTCTGTTTTAGAGCTTGCTGGATTTCGTGACTATGTACCTAGGATTATCTCTAGTGGTGCAGAGGAAATGCCCAAAAATATTCTCTCTGTGGAGAAAGAAGTCACACTGAGAAGACCTTTTCCCGGTCTGGAGGCTTCCTCCACCTCCCACTGTGTGAGCCGTCCTATTGTGATGAGGGAAGCCCATTGGTGCCTAATCCTGTGTCGGGGATGAGGATGGCAGGAAGGGCCTGTGGGGCCTGGTGATCAGGAAGTGGCTAAAAGGAAGTGGGACTTCTGAGCTGTTCCTATCTGTGGGGATGAAGGAGGAGAGTGGACATCAGCAGGGCTGTCCCCTACCTTCCAGAAAGGCCTGGACACCTGACCAGGGGCTTGGGGGCTTCCCCTGAGTGGGCCATTTGCACTGCCCTCTTTCCCCGAGGGATCAGCAGTGAAGGGCTGAACACGATGAGAGGGCCCAGGCCTGGTTTGGAAGGGGACAGCTGGTAAGGGTCAGCGAACCGATGGCGATCCCTCAAAAGGTAGGGAGGCTGGACTGAGAGGGAGCATCCTGTGGGAGAAGGCAGGTCACACGAGGCACAGCAGGGCCCCCAAAAGCTGGGGTTTGTAAGTGACTTGGTTTCTGTTAGCTCTGACAGGACATGGAGTTGGGGCACAGAAGGGGAGAGTCTGGCCAGGCCTAGGCATCGAGTTTCTGCCCCAGGCCCTTGCTGGGCTGGTTGGGAACCTCTCGTGTGTGAAGGGTGCTGCTTTTCTGCGGAGTCCCCCCTCCTAAGCACAGCCCATTTTCCTGTTGCAGATCTGCCGCCGCCTTAATGGGGTCCGGTTCACCAGCTGCAAGAGCGCCAAGGACCGCACGGCCATGTCGGTGACACTGGAGCAGTGCTTGATCCTGCAGCACGAGCACGGCATGGCCCCACAGGTCTTCACCCAGGCCCTGGAGTGCATGCGCAGGTGAGTGCCACCGCCAGGCCGCGCCCTGCCTGCCCTGGTCCGTGTAAACTGCAGATGAGCTGGCACCACTGCGCCTTCCCACAGGGCCTGCCCTGCATGAGCCCCTGATGCCAGCTGCCACACTTGAGTTTGACAAACTAGTCAAACTATTGGCACTGTCAAATTCAGACAATGTTCTCTTGTAAGGCGAGGGGGAAGAGAGCTGGCAGTCTTTCTGAACAGGACTGCTCTTAAAACCGGTAGACTCACCGGCAAGCTGAGGGTCAGACAGCTAAGAGGAGCTTGGCTGCAGCCATATGGTACATCCCTTCAGCCACCTGCCTGGCTGTGGGTGTGATTTAGGGCCAGTGCTTTCTCAGCAGGCCTCTGCTGTTGACATCGTATAGCCACATGCATATGTACATTTTCAAACTCGAGTGAAGACACGCGTCTGCAGGTTGCACTGGTTTGCTCCACTGCTTCTCTAGCAGTCGACACAGTTTGCTTTTATGAGCAAAGTGTCAAATGAGTGTTTTATGGTGATAGCTGTCAGTGTGCCCTGGCGACCTCACCCAATGATGTTCTGATTCTGAGATAGCAGGCGTGTTTGCAGAATGAAACCCAGAACTAAAATTGTCCATTATTGGTCAATGCCTTGTTTCAAGCACTGCTGGGCAGCCCCTACCTCACATACCAAAAGAAAGGATAAGAAACCTGGTTTTCCCGTCTCCTTCAATGTAGTCACCAATGCTGTTAAAGTCTCGTTTCCAACAGTCACTTCTACTGAATGTTCTGTATCATTTGTCCTCTCACCAAATTCTTTAAAGTGTTCAATTCTCTTATCCTTTCTGTATGTTTCTGCCGTTTGACCTTCTCACAATAATGCACAAAAGAGATGCATGAGCTCCTGCCTCTTGATAATAGCATTTTGTAAAAATGGAATCATTTTGTCCCTGTTTTGTCTTTCCAAGTTCATCTAAACCTCTGTTAAAGTTCGCCATCCCTCTGCCCAGCCTCAGGGGAGCAATAGAGACTCAGAGCCCTGCTCTGCCATTCTTTAATTTTACTTGCCTTGACTAAGGGCCTGCCCCAGGAGCCTGGGTGCCCTTCGGGCTCCACATCCAATGTGACCCTGCTGCAGCGGGGGGCCTGGTGCAGCAGGGTGGCAGCCATGTCTGTGCCCATCAGCTGCGCAGCTTTGGCAGGGGCCACTCTAGTGAACTGCAGACCTTTGCCAGTGAAGAAACACGAAGAAGCAGGATTCCTGTGGTTGTGGCAGCAACGATCAGGATCAGGTCCAGTTAGGAGCCGAGGCCCTGAGTTAGGCACACAGTTGACGCAGGGACCTCTGTCTAGTTCTTGGGCTTTTCAACAAATTCAACAAAAACGATTCATTCTGACTTCATCTGAGCACAAGGGGTCTCAGGAGACCAGGGAGAAAGTGGGCTTGTAGAGAGACACAGCACGACTGCAGGTTCCGTCACTGAGCCCAGAACCCACACAGCCTCTGTCTGCCTGCCTGTAGCCCCCAGGGGTTGTGTGTGCAGGACAGTCATTACGGCTGTTACAATTTACAACACAAAGCACTTTTTACAACTTTCAATCACGTAAGTAATTGATACTCCTTATAGGAAAATTAGATAATACAGATAAGCGTCTACGCTAGTCCTTCACTCTCATGCACACACCCCACAAGAGAATTCTCCATATTCCTGCTATTAACAGTGGCCATGTTAACATTTTTATCCATGTCCTCTCAGAGAAATGTACACACGTACCTACATACAGGTGTGAGTGTGGTTAATCCACACATTGGTTAACCAGTTCCTGAATAACACACAAAACAAAAACACATGCACAAACAAATGCAGTTATATGCACAATTCTGCCTATTGTTTTAACCTACTGTTTTTCATTTAACTGTCTTGTGAGCATTTTTTCAGGTGAAAAAATATAAACCTTATCGCTCTTAACACACCATAATTTATCCAATTTGCTATCATTGAATATTTAAACTATATATAGTTTTCCAGAATTTTAATCGAGTACACTGAATATCCTTAAAAATTCTCCTATCCACATTGACCAATTGACTCCTCAGGTTAAAAAGTATACATCTTTGGAAGGCCTTTTTTTTTTTTTTTTTTTTGAGAAAGAGTTTTGCTCTGTCACACAGGCTAGAGTGTAGTGGTGTCATCATCACTCACCTCAAACTCCTGGGCTCAGGTGATCCTACTGCTTCCAAAGTAGCTGGGACTACAGGCACATGCCACCATGCTAGGCTAATTTTTAAATTTTTTTGTAGAGACAGAGTCTTGCTGTGTGGCTGAGGCTGGTCTCGAATTCCAGGTCTCAAGTGATCTTCCTGCCTCAGGCTCCCAGAGTGCTGGGATTACAGGCATGAGCCACTGTGCCCAGTCTGTAAGGCTTTTTAATACAAATCACCAAATTGTTCCCATACCAGCCACACTCCTGCCCACCAGTGTCCTGGAGTGTCCAGGAACTGCTCCCCCGGGCACCATCATTCCTGGCACTATTCTGAGTGCTCCTGAGGCTGTAAAGGTGGTGTCATTTTTCTGTTTTACTTATAGGTGAGGACCCCGAGGCCCTGAGTGGGTGAGGGCCTTCCTTACATGGGAGCAGGCACCATCCCCTTGGCCTCCCTCTGCCTCTGTAAACCCCAATCCTGCCTCCAATTACGGATGTCTTTTTAAATTATTTTTTTCTACGTTTTCTAAAATCTGTACAGGGAGCACATAACACATAAGTAATTATCAAAGAAGTTATAAAAACAAAGCTCACTCCTCCTTCACCTCTGCCTGCCCTGGAAACCTCAGCAGCAGCGCAGGGACAGTGCTCACTGCTGCCTGGAGCAGAACCCTGCAGTGTCTCGGGCTCTCACTGCAGGCATTGTTTGAAGGTGACACTGTTACCCCTGACTTTGTGTTTTCTGGATTATCCCATGTGGAAAAGACATGTATCTGTTTAGTCAGCTGCAAGCCCGAGGCGCTGGGTCACCAGCAAGCAGTTCTGGCTGCAGGGCTGGCCAGTGAGAGCCCCGAGGAGGTGGTAGTGAATCTGCACCCTGCCCTCGAGCAGAGGAAGAGGTTTGGTTCTCTCGCTTTCTCATTGCATCTCACCAGATGGGCAAGTAGAGCATGCAGGGGGGGCAGAGCTGGCACCCAGGCTGGCTTTCTCCTACAGGCCCAGGATGAGTACTGGTCAGGGCTGTGCTGTACACGTTCAACAGCCAGTCATCTCCCCAGAAGCCCTGATCTGTAGTATTTGCCAATTTCTGTGACACAAATACCTCCACTGGGGCCCATCTTGAGCTCCTAGTGTGGCAGCACTGAACATGGGTTTGGGAAGAGATTTACACCCTCAGCTCCTTTGAGCCATGTGTGCTGACTCCAGCACACCACTGAGACATCCCTCTGTCCCCAGTCCAGGGGCTGAAACTCCCACTTAGTGGGCCTTCCTGAGTAGCCGCCAGCCTATCCTGGCAGGGAATGTGATGACCGGTCAGTGCTGGCCAGCTTGGAAAGTGTCCCCTGTCAGAACACCTCATTCCAGCAGGGCCTTTCCAAGGCTTAAGGGTTCCTCTGGGAATGACGGGGAGGACTCAGTGTGAGGAGGAAGCCTGGACCTCCTGCCTGCCCCTCTCCACGTGGATCCTTCACAGGCTGCCTGCTGTGTCCTAGGACCTCTGATTCTGTGTTACTGCTGCCACTCAGTGGCCACGGATGTGGTTCCAGAGTCGTGTGGTTCTAGGTACCATCTCACCTCAGTACATTTCTTCTGTAGCATCAAAAGGGGAAAGAAACCCCAAGTTTCTAGTGTGGGGTTGGTTGGATTCCATCCTTGGGGATCATTGTGTAGAACAGTAACTTGCAAAGTTGGGGACAACAGTGTCTCACGGCCTGCCACTGCTGAACCTGAGACCCAAGGTGGGGCTGGGGAGGACCCTGCATTTGGTTTGTACCTGAGGTAAATGGTTTTCATTTGTGTGGTTAATCAAGCGGCAGCTTTGGCCAAATCCATCGCACCACCCTCGCTGGGGCATCTGTGAGAAGGTCAAATCCCCAATGGTTCTTCATGTTCAGCTTGCTTCTCAGAACCCCGTCTTTGCAGCATGCGGGAGCATGGCGGGGCGGCATGGAGTTGTGCTTGGCCAGCCGAGAGGGAGTGAACATGGAAAACCATTCATTCAACCTACATGTGTTTATTTTCAGTAGATTGCAGTATTCTTTTCTTATTTTCACTTCTCTTTCTCTCCTTTTTTCCTGTAACTGTGCTGGTTTTATTTTGGTCTTCCTCTCACACCCTTTTCTGCATATCATCTTTTCTTTCTGTTGTGGCTTCATTCCATTTTTTTTTTAATCTTATCTTTTGGTTCTTCTCTTTTTCCCATAACTTTTGGTAAAATCCATCGCATGTGTTTCTTTTTTCTTTATTTTTGTTCCTTTCCTTTTTTCTTTTCCTTTCTCCCAAACTTTTTCCTTTTCACAGCATTGGAACACGGGAGGTAGTCACGCAGAAGAACTTGAGCGGCCTGGTGCCCATCCGAGACTTAAGGCTAGACCCCAGCCTCCTCTGTTCCCTTCCTTTATTAGCTCTGAGCCCCAATTTACTGATTGTGTGGCTCTTTCTGAGCATAGCATACCTGGTGACCAAATTGCGTTGCAAATGAGTATCATTACGAAAAATTCATAAGTCACAAGAAAAACAAAAGTGCCAGAATATGTCCAGCCACCGTTTACCTAACTGGACAGAAGGAATGTCAAAACGTGGTCTGCCAAGAAATATCTCATGCCTTACAGTTTGACGTTTTGTTCTTCTGAACTGTAAATATCTGCCAAATTATTTCACCAAGAGGACTTGTTTGTTTAAATCACGTCTTCAGTGCTTGTAACATGTTCTCACGGTGCCCTGCCACTGCATTATTTAGCTGGCCTGGAATTACTTGTACGACAGCTCTTACCTTCTGATGTAAAATTGTTTATTACCTGTACATCTCGTGTGCCCTGTTTCCAAGAGAAGGGAATTCTGTTTGAAAAGAATTTGTATATTTGATACTATTCTTTAAGTGTACTGCTAACCTTTCCTTTCCTTTTGAAGAAAAATGAAAAGAAAAAGATAGATGCTTTCTATAACCGGCTCATCTAGACTAGCTTATTTAATAGGACATGTACTTTCTGCTTTCATTTCAAAGCGTAGTCCCTCAATCACAGTAGCAAACAGTTTGCGGAATCATAACACTTCCTTGCTCTTGTTTATTATTTCCAATTGGGGTGACACAAACTGTGACGACAATAGTACATGATACCAAGTCAGACACATAAAGATAACCTATTGCATGCGACTTTAGATTTACTCTTAACTCTTTAAGGGTCATTAAACTGATTCCAGGAAGTAACGCATACAATAACAAAAGGCAGTTAAAGTTATATACATTTATTTTTCTGCAAGTAGCATTTTTCATTTAAAAATTACATCTTTAATTCCAGATTAAAGTCAGACATCTCTCTTACCCATCAAATATGGTTAAAAATGAAAACAAAATCAAAGAAAAATTGCCAAAAATTGATTTTGGGTGGGGGAGTTGTGGCAGATGGGGCTGTGAGAGGGAAAGGATCACTTTGGTTTCTGCTGTTACCACTCTTCACTTTAACATGGCAGTGTCCCTAAAACGGGATGAATTGTAACCTTAACATTCATATGTGGCAGAGGGTAATTGTACACCTATAAAGGTAACCAAATAAATCAGGGGAAAGTTGTACACACCCTGTATGAGAATAGTCAGTGGCTTCTCTGTTTTCCAGTTCACAGTATTATGATATTGTACTTCTATTTGCGTCCGCCAGCTGGTTCCCCATACAGTGTATTTTATGGAGTGGATTTCTTTTTACCAATCCAGACAAATTGGAGTAAATTTAGAGAATCTGGCTTTTCCAGAAACTTGACCATGCGCACACACAAACCCAGTCCACCACAAAGTCTGGCTTCTCCATTCTCCAAGATTCCCAGACCTTACTCTGGGGTTTCTCTGATTTGGCATCAGCTCAGAGTCCAGGTTCTAGGAGTAGCAGAAGCGGTTAGCAACGAGTGGCAAACACCAGACTCAAACTTTCAATTCTAAAGTGTAAATCCATCCTCATCATTCCCAGGAGCACCCTTTTTCTAGACCCCCTGAGCACTGCAGGATCCCCAGGGCAGGAATCACCTCTGTGTCACCCTGTAGGTGAGCCCACTCTTCTCCAAGTGCAGAGTGTTCACTTGTCTCTTCTAGAGTAAATGAGGTGGCTGTTGTGTGGCACAGCTCCTGGCATCCTTCAGTGGGGAGTCACTCACCAAATGCCAGCTGACAGGTGGTGTTGAGTTGTAGCAGCATGGCACTAGGCACTGGACAGTGTCCTGGTCAGTCTGTGATTCTTTGAAGGTATGTTCACCACTTGCCCTCTTTCACATTGAGGTGCACACTTCAACTCTGTAGGACATTTTGTCTGCTTGATTTGAAAGAGGGAAAGTAGAGTCCACAGCCTCCTTCAGTTCCCATTCCACAGCTTCCCAGGCCCTGCTCCAGGCGATGAGCTCCTGATGACGCAGTGGTGACAGGTGCATGCCCACCTCCAGGGCAGAGCTCGTGGCCAGGAGAGTCCACACACAGAGGGAGGCCCTCCCACTGCAGACAGCAGCCCTGCCTCCCCCGGGGCCCAAGTGGGCTTCTGTGGCACTCTCCAGGGGCTCCTCCCAGGACCCCGCCACACAGCACCGGGAAGCCACGGCCAGCCAAAGGGCCTCCTCTGAGAGGGCCTCAGGGACACCACAGCCTGATCCTTGGCTGTTGTGGTGCCAGCCACACCTTCCTGTCCCATATGGGCTGGCTGCTGGGTTGGAAGAGAAATGGGACCAAAGGGAGAGGGGATAAGGTTCTTTGTCTCTCTCCTCCAGGGGCTGGGTCAGAAGGCAGCGCGTGTGCCTGCACAGTCTTGGAGGGCTGGCACTAGAGAGGATGCCAGGAGACCAGCCTAGGCCACGGGTTGGTTGTGTTTTGGTTTTTTTGCTTTAAAATATCTGAGAAAAGAAACTTAGCATGATCAACCTTTACGCTGAATTTTAATATCACTAAAGCCCTTTGCTCATGAAATGAGTCCAAATATATAACCAAAATCTTGTCTGCTTTAGTGAAAAATAGGATGGAATAAAGATGGGGAGAGGATTCAAGAAGTGGGGAGTCATTGATATTCCATGATGGTTTTTAGGTTGCTTCCCAAGTAATGTTAGCACTGAGGCATTGTCAGCTGGCTTGAAGTAGTCAGTATTAAATCAGCTTTCTGAAGTTAGAGAAACCACACTGAGTATGAGTTCTCTTTGGATGGTCATGTAAAGTTTTTTCAACAACTGTGACAGTCACCACTATGGCTTGGTCCGACAGAGATCTTAACACCACAGCCAGTTCTCCCTGCACAAAGCAACAGGAAAAGCAGCCACTACCCGTGTCTGCCATAGAATCACTAAGGCACTGATGCCACCAGATGATTTCTAAAGTGGAAGGTCCCACCAGAAAGGGAAAACCAGAGATTTTCCTAAAATCAGTTGTCATTTGGGGTTTCCTTATTAATTTTCATTTCAAAAATGGATGTCCTTGAAATAATTTACTGATACAATACAAATAATCATGGAGCTTGGAAATAATCAAATCCCTCTTGCTAAAATGTATCCAAGCTCTTCTCAGCATGTTTTTGACTCCCGAAAATTATGCAGCCAGTGCGGTCAGTGAAGGTGTTCTGCCTTCGGGCAGCAAGCCGGAAAATGCCATTAGCGCAGCACGCCCTCGCCGCCTCCGCATGCCTGGTCCCTAACCCCCTGCCAGCTCATCTACACACAGACCATGTGATGACAGCGTCGGCATGTGGATCAGCTGCATCAGCTAGATTTTGTAAATTGAAACATTTGGGGGAAAGGAAATGCAATTTGATTTAAAAACTAAGTGGAAATGAAAGTCTAATCTTGATTATAACTTCATGTCTAATGTGTTCAGCCAGCTAAAACAGGCATTAGCTCCTTTACTATGTAAATAAAACATAATGTCAGAGTTCACATATTATTCTTCCTTGCTCCTCAAGGCAGCTTGGTATTTACTAGTGATAAGTGGTCTTTGAAAAGTTTATAAATCTCTATTTAAATGGAGAAGCCATATCTGAAATAGTCCATTAATGTAAAAGCGTCCGAAGATGAAAGGGGATTAACTGTGCATAGGATCCTATAATTTCTACTTGAAGTGGAAGTACATTTTTGATTACTGAATGTTGGGCAAACAACATTACTCACTCTAGGGGATCCTGCTCATGTGGCCTAGGTGTTCGGTCAAAGGACACACATCTAGCTGACAGCTTGAGGCTCTGTGGCAAAAAAGCATATCTGAGTTACCAAACTAGTTAATAACACAACCAGGTAGATAGACACTTTTCTAAAATACTGGAGCTTATCTTTTGAATAAAAATTACTGTCTTACTGAAAATATTTTACATGTTCTTGATAATAAGACTGTCATTTTCACTTTAAAAGGCTTGAGCAGTTGCCACTGATATTTTTTTAAAATGCATGACATATGGTCTTCATACAACTTGAATTTTTTTGTAAATCACTGTTTCTTAGTAACTGCAAATTTTACATCTCATAAGGGGGATTTTTTACTAAATTTGATAACTTTATTGATTTCATTGCTAGTCTTAGAATAGTATAAAATATCAGGTTATAATATGCTGTGGGAAGTCATTTATATTTAAAATCACCATTGCCTGTTAATTTTATGTCTGTACCAGAGAACTGCTCTGATGTTCTCACTGAGGATGTGGGGCCTGCCTGGCTGCGCAGCCTCCTGTGCGTCGTCCGCTTTTGCCCCCTGGATTGCCATGGCAGCTCTCCAGCAGATGCAGCTGGGGATGGTGCTGGAACAAGTTTTCTAGGGAAGGGTGCCTGTGGGCTCTCATTGGCTCAGTGGCACTTTGCAAGAGGGCAGCCCACCTGGAGAAGGGTGGCTGGCTGCCTGTCACGAGATCTCAGTGGGGTTCCTCCTTCATGACACTCCTGCCCTGATAGCCAGGCAGACCTGCCCTACAGACCATGTGTGGGCCCATTGGATTGCTTTGCATGTGGAACAGCTGTCCCCTAGGTGGAGATAGCATGTCAGAACGACCTTCTCAGCCAGAGGGCTTTGCTACACGTTGAATTCTACAAGGAGAGTCAGCATTTTGAATTTGATGTGATTACAGCCTCTTGCTAATACAGAAAAGTGCAGCTCTTTAAAGGCTTTAGTAAGAGTAGTAATATTTCTGCTTCCACTTAATTTGCTATGTAACAGAACCTTTGAACCACAAGCTAGAGCTCCAAGTAACTAGACACGAGATCCATGGAATCATTAACTTAAAAAACTTTGCTTCCAGTTAGATACAGTGCTGCTTTTGGAAATGCAAAACTCACAGCCCCATACAGCATGTGTCCATCTCTGTGCTTCTTAATTGCCTGTTCAGAAACCCACCATCTTACGTATGTATTTGTTGTAAATGAGTCCAGAACCCATTTAAATTAATCAATCTTTTTTTTAATGTTATGGAAATAATCAGTTCATTTCATCTTAGTTTTAAGTCTTTTCTTTTTTCCTTTTTTACTGCTGTCATTTCTTGTGCTTGTTTTTTCCCCAGTGAGGGTTGTCGAAGAGAAAATACAATGAAGAATGTTGGAAGTCGCAAATATGCGTTTAATTCCCTGCAGCTGAAGGCTTTCCCCAAGCATTACAGGCCTCCCGAAGGGACTTACGGAAAAGTTGAAACATGAACACACGGTTTCCTCTAATTAGCTGTTACACAATAAATGTGGGTACCCTCTAGTGTCATATATGAATTCTTCAAGAGGACCTGAAGGATTGGTTTTTATTTTTGTGGTTTTTTTAAAAACTATTTCACTAAAGAGTCTATGGAGCATGTTTTTTGTTTTTTTTTTTCCCCCTATTGGAATCAGTAGGAGGTAATGTTTGGCTCAACAGTGCGGATAGTAATGACTGCCCATTTACATAGCCTTCGGCTATAACTTCACAGATACCACTGACAGTTACTTGTAAGAATCAAGCTAGGTTTGTCTGAAATGCTAGAAGACTTTTTAAATGCCTACTTAGGCATTGCTCACCTAATTATTTTTCTACTGAGTAACTTAAAAGTGACCATTGAATTACAGTCTACTTTTTAAAAATCTTAATGTAAAACAGTAAATAATACATTAAATAATTGGATCCCAGGCATACCAATAAATGTTAAATGTTAACTCAAGTTCCAGGGAAAGAAGCTAGCACTCTCTCATGCAGTGAGAGTAACTGGTTCTAATGAATCATCCTATCCATACCACCACCTGTGAGACCAGAAGTTGAAAAAAATATTGATAAATCAGCCAGAGATAAGACTTTATTAGAAGGTAACACCTGCAAAGCAGCCCACACAATTGGGGCCACTCTTCTTTCTGTCCCTCTTGAGTTACAGAAAGGGTGTCTGCTTGAGACATAAAGCCAGCAGCAAGGTCCTTTACACTGTCTCCTGTTCTCTGAAACTCCATGTCTAGGTTGCCCCCGCCCACAGGGCACATCTCCCTTACTTCTCCGGATGCCGAGTTATAATCAGTTGAGGACCTCAGATGTCTGCGTGACATCACTCCAATGGGGAAGTTATGCCTGTAGAGATAGTGGAAACCTAAATATTTTCAGCACAAGTATTCTTTTGCAGGATTTCCAATATATCTTCTAAAAGACAATACAATCATGTTTGAATGTCTAATAAAAGTGTCTTATTTTTAGGTTTGCAGTAATTGTTACTTTCCTATTCTCATTCTGTTATGTCATATGACTATTGAGAAACAGTTGGAATTGTCTCCTGAAATGAGAGTTTGAAAGGGATTTATGGGCCATAAAACTTAGGAATTTTATAGAAAATTATGTCTTGTCATCTTTTATAAGATGGTGATGTCTTATCTGCACATTAGCAGAGTTTTTTTCCTTAGGAGTTTATATGTTTTATTAATTCTGTTTATGATGATTATGTTTACATGTTATTTAAAAGTCTGTAAAAGAAATATATGTGGCACATATTAATGATGCTGATCCTAATGATTTGTGAACCTCCTGGAAATTCTTTACGTCTGAAAGTCTAGACAATATTCTTTTAGCTCCTTTAGAAATGCATAACAAACTTGGGCCCAGGGTGCTGAGACACAGAGAGGACCATTCATTGGCAGGACACGGAGTGGGTGGACAGAGCCTGCTGTCTCCCGATGCCTGCTGGGAGGAAGATGTGAGCTGGCGTGGAGAATGGTTAATGGGAGATGCACTCTCTGCCCCCCACTCAAAGCTGGGTTCGCTGGAGGGCGGGAGGCAGAGAAGCTCCTGTCCACCAAACCCGCTGCACGGGCGGCTGCTGCTGGTGTCAGAGCCTCCTCTTTAGGTGTCAATGCCTATTCAAAGACAGTTTTTAATATGGCTGATTTAGCCTTTCACCTTTGCACCATTTCATTTTATTTGTAATTTTTTAGTTCCATCTTTTCTCATTTTAACATCACTACTTTTTTAAAAATTGCCTTGTTTTTTAAAGTTAAATGTTACCCATACTGTTTTCAGGATTTTATCTGAAGAACATTAAATATCTGCATTTATCAAAGGGAATATAGCATATATTGAGTCATCTGTCAACAATTTTGCATGTGGCACCTTTATATGAATTATTTTCCCAATTTTTGCTTTATATTACGAGTCACCAGAAAGCTCTAAGCCTTGGCTAATCATGTAGAAAGGGTCCAGGTTTCAGTGTTCTCTCTGAAGGCGTTGTTCCTGGGCTCACGGTGGCATCACACACTTCCCAAGCTTGCCGGGAGAGGGGCGCGTTGTGCAGCCCCGGGGGCAGCAGCACCTCTCTTCACACGAGAGCTTTGTGTCTTCAGTTGCACAGGGAAGGCAGTTTTACGGGTTGCTGTAAAAGAGAGGTCCCGTCCAATATTCCTTATAAGGCCTCCCCATTTAAAAAGAAGTGAAATGAGATCTCTGGAAAACTGGGCACATCATGTGGGTTCTGTCAGAGCTCTTGCAGCACAGTTGCCTTTAGTTTCCTTTAAAGATGTAAAAATATTGTATGATACAGTTTTGTCCCTACACAATTGTATTTGCCAAGCTTAGTGCATTAAAATACTTTTATTTATTTGTTTGGGGCAGTATTAATATACATAAACATATAGTTACTGTTTTATATATTCTTAGCTCATTCAAAGCCATGTATGCTGTAAATGTGCTAGTCTTTAGAATGACAAATAATAAATAACTGACAAGAATATTAAACTTGGTCTTGCCTGATTCATCTTGTCACATTAGAAGGACTAGTTCTATGGCCAGCCTCAGACTGGACCAGCACTGAGTGCTCTGGTGCTGAATGCATATGTTTGTAAACATAAGACTATGTGAGACTTCTGTTTTATAACCTTGTTTTCTCCCGATTTGAAGTAGAGGGGCAGCAGGTTGTGGGGTTGAGAGCATGGACTTTGGCAGCAGACAGACCCAGGTCCCAATCCTGGTTCTGCCACTCACTGGCTGGTGATTCTAAACTAGTTTCTTGACCTCTCTGAGCCTCTGTTTCCTCGTGTGTAAAGTGTAGACAACAACAGTATGTTCCTGATAAGGTGGTTGTGAGGCACCTTGGCAGTAAGTGTTTATAAACATTAGCCATTGTTTTCACTTTGTCTGTAAACGTGGATCACGTCATCTCTGTGGTAGCCTGGTCCTTGCTGTGTGACTTGCAAAAATGCAATTCCACGTGCATTTGCACTGTTCATTGTCACCAGGACTGCATCTCGCACCTTTGCACCACCTTCTAGGCACACGTGCCCGATGATCTCCCTTGGATAAATGCCTGGCAGTGGAAATGTACAATTAAAGGATAATTTAAATGTTTTAAACTTTCTGAGTTTTAACGTTACCAAAATACTCCCAGAAACTTAAGCTACCACCTGTCAGACAGACCTTTTCCGTTTATTCTCAACGATGGTGGCAATGGCACCTTGTTTCAATTTCCATTTCTTTGATTACCGTGAACACTAAACATCTTTTATAACTTTATGTTTGCATTTTTGTGACTTCATTGGAGTACTGATCTTTTCCATATGGATTGAGTGTTTTTAATATACAATATATTAACCCCTCTGTTGTTATGTTGCAGATTTTTTTAACCTATTTGTCGGCTATCTCTTGACTCTGTTTATGATAGGGAGTATATGGAAGTTTTAAACGTTTGTGGAGTCAAATGTATGTCTTTCATTTTGATGCTTATTTTGAAATCAAGTCCAGGCTTTACCACTGAAGGTGGCACAGATGGGGCAGCTGTGTCCATGAAGTGAGTATAGTGGCATGGTGACACATCTGCCAAGGGGCCGGACTAAAGTGCTCGTTGGCACCTTGCTTGGTACATGGTCCACACTTGGTTTAATGCTATTAGTGGTTTCTGCCTTAGCACTCATGCCTCAGGATTATTTATTAAATATTCACCTGTTCTTATTTCTGTTTAACATTTAGATCAATCCATCTAGAATTATTTTGGCATAAACCATTTGGAGTCTGCTAAAGTCAGAGGGACTCCCTCCTCAAAGCCAGCCTTAATTTTGCTTCTTTGAAGTTAAGCAATAGGAGTGATGTGTCAGCACACCCAGACAGCAGGCACCGTGAGCTTCCTCCTGCCCTCGCCCGCACGTGCCATTCGGGTACTGCTCTTGGTTTCCTTTTCAGCCTCTTAGTGTTATAGATGACCTGGCACAGCCTGGCTGCCCAGGTTGAGCTGGCCCAGGGAGGAAAGTAAGCAGGACTAGGGGTTAGAACTGCCTGTTTGCACTCTTTCTGAGGACAGACATGATTAGCCATTGGGAGGCCATTATTGCACTGCAGGTTGTTCTAATTCTTTACTAATTACTATATTACACAGCAAGTGGTACCATTTTTTAATAGAAGTTTCTCCCAAATCTTCATCAGCATCATGTGTTCCTCGTGTTGTAGTAATGAGTCATGGAGCTTCCTGAGCAAGCACTATGACCCCCCCAGTCACAATAAAGAGATGCCAGCATTTCTCTCTTTCCTCAGGAAAGGAGAACACTGCTTCCATGTGTGGGGTATTGGAAGCCTGTGGCTAGAAGGGCCTGGTCTCATGTCTGGATGTCTTGTCACACCCCTGGCATGGCTGACCAGCACCTTCTCCTGGCAGGCAGGCCCTCTCAAAACTCTCCATTTAGAGATGGACAAACTCCCTTTTTTTTGGTCACTTTTTTGTTTTTTCCCCCAAATGTCCTCCCTTACTAAGCCCCTATTAAGGGTTGATTTTTCAATAAGTTATAGTGAAGGTACTGCCTGCTGTGTACAAACCCCCACCTGGTCACAAGTTCCCCGGGAGCCTGCAGGGATGACAGGGATGACGGAACCGAAGGGGGCAGGGCAGGGGAAACAGCTCAGGCTGCCCGGCCAGCTGGACTGCTCATGAAGGCCTCCCAGAGGGATGGGCACAGCTGCCTTATAGGTAGGTACCTGTGATGTTTTTTCATACCTTCAAATGAGCCCTCTTCTCAGTGATTCCAGGTATTTCCAAAAGTAGAAAGTAATCACATTTCCAGTGGATAAAATCCAGTATTTAAAATCAGTAAGGAGGATAGAAATCTCTTTTTGAGAGGTATATGCTAACACAAAAGATCTTTCTTTCGTTTGTGTGACGACCAAGCAGCATGGGCTCTAGCAGGGGCAAGAAAGGTGAGTTGTAGAGATGGAAACTTCTATTCAGCAGGCTCTATGTTTCCAATGGGAGCCCTGGAAACAAAACAGCCTTGGCCGGGACTGATCACCTGATGCCTTGCATACACTGACCATGGGCACCGGCACAGTGGATGTTGGCCCCAGGATCGGTCTGCGGTTTGGCTGAAG